CATGCAACTTGGGACAAGTCACTCCCACCATCTGGACCAAAGGACCTTCAAGGTCCTTAACCAAACTGGATTCCTACAACCCTATCTTTTCTGCCCTGCCTGACCCATGGGCACTGGGATGAGGGAAGGGACTTGGCATTTATGAAGATCCTACTGGGTGCAATGTTCCATCAGAAGCTTTTAAAAATAAAAATAGCTAGAATATACATGGACCCAGTGCTAAAGGCTTTATAAACATGACAATGCTATGACAAGAAAAGTTATCCCAAGCTCTGAAATATAATTCACTCCCTGCCTTTCAAAGTCCTTTTAGAGTATTGTCTAAGAAGAGTTCTACAGGGTTGGGGATGTAGCTCAGTGGTAGAGTGCTTGTCTAGCATGCACAGAGCCCTGGGTTTTATCCCCAGCACCCCTTCAAAAAAAAAAGAGAGCCATTGTGACCTTCTCTGTCATCAAACTGAGAGAGAAGTGGGAGTAAGTAAAATCATCAAAGAGCAGAAAGAGCAGTAGTCCACAGGAGACCCAAGAGCTTCAGAGAGGACCTGGGGCTCCAAATAAAGAGTAGCAATTGAAAAAAAAAATGCACAGGGAGTTTTCACAGTATGAAAGGGAATCCCACAGAGCACAATGGAGAGCAGGCTCTGGGAGAACGGGGTACAAGGGTGGGGGAGACAGGACGGAACTCCTCTGACTCCTGGTCAACTCTTATTCTTCCAAACTAGGCTTAAACATGGCTTCCTTGGGGAGCCTTTCAGAACCCTTCAGACCAGCTCAGGTTTCCTTGCCCCATGTTCCTAAAGCTCTTCTAAATTGGTCACACTTGTTCAACCTGCCTAATGTGTGGTGTTCTCTCCAGGAGTGCTTGGCATCCAGAATGAGAAATCTAGAGTGAACAATATGGTACCTGCCCCTGGGTTTTATCCCCAGAACTCCCTCTCAAAAAAAAAAAAAAAAAAAAAAGTCTATACATCATTTAGTGAATGAACAGGTGGATGGATATGGACGACTGTGTCAGTGGGTGGGTGAACCAATGTCCTAAAAATCCAGTAGAGGGCAACAGGGGAGAGATGTTGCATAAGCAGCACAGGTTTGAGGGAGAACAGGGGGCATATAAAAATAACTGTAAATAACCATACCGGAACTTCTGGGAATTTGATTTCACTTTACTATGCGAAGCCCACACAAGCTTTCTGAGAAGAGGCAGGACCTACAATGAGGGAATTTTTATCTCTGCTTTGCTGTCAATGAGAAAATGCATTTGCCTGCTGCTGGCTGACTCAAAGTTTCATGGTTTATTTTCAACTCATCATCTATTTTAAAAACTGACTTGAGTTTTGCCTCTGGCTACCCACAGTCCATCTCTCCTTATGCCTCAACTTTCCCTCTTAAGCTCTTCTTTACAACTTAACCCCTAAAACAGTTTCAATTTCAAATATTCTGACCTGCTGTCTATAGAAACCATCAAAATACCTCAGAGGTTTCACCATTTCTACATTCATATTATAGCTCCAAGACAGATCCTCACATCTGAAAGTGGAATAAAAATCTGTATCAAATCTGTTAAGGTTCTTGATTCAGGATTCAGAAAATGTGCCCTTAGCCAGTGCCTCATATTTAACTTTTTATTTTATATGTAATCAAGTTACATTTTTAAGCTCATAAAGTTACATGTCTAATATATGGAGCAAGCATTAAACTAAATGCTATAAATGTGAAATTGTTTAGTACAAGTCCATCCAATTTACCATTTAGACAAAAGAAAATGTGGATGACGAATTCTCATGGAGTCTTGCCAGATATTTAAAGGCAAAAGAAAAGGCAAGCGGGGTTCAAGAGCAAGAATAAAGGCAGAGGGGAGAGAAATGCCTTGGCTTATTTGGGGAGATAACAAAGCAGCTCAAGACTTGAGGAGCATAAGGCAAGTGAGAAACTGGAGAGATGGAAGAAGCCAAAATAATGGGTCTTTCTATCAAGCTAACGAGCTTGACTATCATCCTGTACCTGCCACGGTCATGACTATAACAATGGCAGCTAACATTCACTCAGAGCTTACTCTGGGCCAGGAACTCTAATCCTACAAGGCAGGTCTATTTTCACACCATTTGTATAGGTAGGGGAAACTAAAGAGAGTTTGGGAGAGATGAGCCTTTGAAGACTAAACCAGAGTAGCGTGACTAGACATGTATTTTTAAAATATACTTCTGTACATAGTATTTATTGATGGAATGAACTTACCATTACTTTAAAATAACAGGAGTTGGCATGGGCACATAAAGATTCCTACACTCTGATAATTTGGCAATGTGAACTATACTAGTCCCTCATCTTTTGTGTTTGAATTTTTGCACAGTAAATGTATATATATTTAAATCAATAGCTGCAATGTGGAGGTCCAAATGAGAAAGTGTAAAGTAGAAAGTAAAGAGGGGTCTGGGGATATGGCTTAGTGGTAGAGCACTGCCTACTAAGCACAAGGCCTTGGGTTCAATACCCAGCACTACAAAAAAAAAAAAAAAAAAAAGGAAAAGGCCAGTTACAGGATTGTTTAACAAGTGAGAGTTGATGAGAGCTAAAGTACCAGTAGGTTAAAGAGGACGTTTTAAGGGTAAAACTTGCTTGGTAACTAGTCTATATGGTGGGGAGAACAATCTCATGTTTAAAACAGGAGTTGTTAATATTATAGAGAATACAAAGAACGTCTGGGAAACAGAAGAGTAGGGCAATGTGTCATTTGGTGTGGCATTAGGTAGGGTATTTCTTAATGAAAGGGACACTGAAAGTACCCCCAGTAGAAACATACTTGCTTACCTACATGATCTATAGTATAAATACATTATGAAGTAAGATCCTTTTTGCACAACATAAAGTTCCAGTATCTCATTTCCAGTCTCCTGAGGTGTTCTTCATACTCTCAAGAGCATGCACTCCCCACTCCGAGTCCATGTACAGTCAGTGGCTTTAGGATTGGATGCCCAACCTCTTGAAATCTCAACTTATTTCCCTATAAAATTAGAGTTCCTTACAGAGGAACAATGAGAATTGCATGAGATTCTACGAACAAACTGATGTCAGCACAAGCACAGCCCCAGGAGTGGAAAATGCTGTCCCCCACCTGCTCCCCCCACCTCCTGCCCCAGACTCCATTTCTTCAGTTTATACTAACAGAATGGGGCTGGGAGTGTGGCTCAGTGGTAGAGTGCTTGTCTACCATGTCTGAGGCCATGGTTCAATCCCCAGTACTGTAAAAAGGGAAATAATGACAGTAGCTTTGTTTCTCACATGAAGAAACATTCTGTGCTTTCAAAGGGTTACAGACCCTAACCAGAATTTCCCCCCGCCCCCACAACACTTCCATCCAGTAAGGCAAATTATTGTTCGCCTGTAATCTTTGCAAAAAGGAAATTTCTGCCCCGTTCACTGAATATTCATGGAGGTGGAGAAGAGAGGGTGAATAGGAGAGATTTCAACTTGTCAGTCCTTCACTCCAAATACACCCAAATACATCCTGTGTGGCTCTACATAGCAAAACGTCATCTGCCAGCTCAAGATGGTTCCCCAACCCTCCCTCGGAAAAAAAAACAGGAATCTGAGCCATTCATGCTATCATAGCAACTGCCCGTACAGAATTGTGTAATGGAGCTCCTGGCTGTGGCTCTAATCTCTTTGAAGAATTAGCCAGGCCATGGTTGTAAGAGGCAATGAGAGCCTGGCTCAAATCCCTTTCACCGAGGGGAAAACAAATATTAAAAGACATGAGCTCTGTAGCATCTCCATAGAACAAATGGCACATCTCTCTATTTGGGAGATTAGAACTGGGAATTCTCTGCTTTTAGGTAGAGGATAAAACTCATCTAGAGGTTTTAACAAAATGTAGTTAAAATATCATCTCTGCTTCCATCATTTGCTTTAGAAAGATAAACAGCCCTAAATCTTAAACCTGGGAGCTGAAAATCATATGCAAAATAAGCACATATAAGGTTTGTTGTCCATTTCGGAAACAAGCAATGATTTAGCTGAAGCTAAAGACAAAAGTGGCAGGAAAAGTCTACCAAAAGCCTTGACTTCAGTTACTAGCATTCTAATCCAATGCTGCCCTCTAGTAGCTCAAGGCGGGAATAGCATGGACCACTCAGCTGGTTTTAGGAATTTGATTAAGCATTATTTACTATGGACAATGTTGCTGGTAAAGGAGAAGGCAGAGGAATGTTCTCTACACTTATATAGCAGTAGTCCATCCTAATAGAAAACATTCATTTAGAAAGATGCTGGAACAAGTAAATGCAACCCACACTTAACAGACTGCTCTAGGTCATCTCCAGCAGACCTGGAAAGGCCCAAAAGTCCCTGAAGATATCCTGCCCTCATCTGTTTGAATAAATTTAGATCGGACCTGTTACATCACCAACCCTCCTTCCTTCATTCTGACTTCTTTCATGTTTGAATAGGAAAGTGGGATGAAAGCTATAGAGTTCTATTTGATACTTCTCAACATCCCCCCCCCAAGCCCCTTTAATACTTTTCATATAAATGATATGGAGCCCATTTTTCCTAAGAAATATAGGGACTAGTCTAACTCAAGGTATATTATAACTAAAGGATTATGAAATCACTTGTATGTTTGAATAATGAGCATTTCCAGAAGGGGAGTGATTATATAACCATTCCCCCAAGTAACTATGAAAACGATTTGAAGTTAAGAAGCCCAGAAGACTTTTCATTTCCATAACCAACTTCCCTGGAAGCCCTGGACATTAAAAACTCTCCCCATGAGGTCTCACTGCTCTCAAATGAAGCCAACTGACTGCCATAACTCCTCAGAATGACTGTAGCTGATACTCTGAAGAACAGAGAAACTTTTGCTGAAAATCAGTCAGGCTCCACAGGGAAGTACAAGAATATCCACCTGTATTATTTTTGTCTATAGACAGGGGATTCCCACTTTTCGTGTTTAGTCTAAAAGAAACGCATCCTGGTATGGGGTGGGTAAGAACCACAAACACTTATTTTCAAACAAAAGCTGACATTTCTTTATTATGACATTGCTTTTAACTTAAGCACAGCTGGCGCCACAAATCCTTATCATATATTATCACACATCCTGGAAAGTTTCTGAGAAGACGTATCGGGACAGGCTTCCTCTGTGGTTCAACTGGATCTGAAGAAAGAACAGAAGAAATTATACACCTGATTCAGAGTTGCTGGTCAATAAGCAACATGTACTGGCACTGTTACTTTCAGAGGCGAGATAACTGAACTGCTTTCCTCTCCCAACTAAAGTGCTGCTCAAAATTCCTCAATCTTTAAAAATCCTTTTCCCCTAATTAAATCTAACTGCCCTCCCAAAGTGTCTTCCTCCACATTCATAAATATCACAGGACACCAAATAGTCGACTGCAAACAGGCCAACTGCAAAGGTCACAGTATCAGGTAGAAGGTCAAGCCATGAGTAAGGAAGCATGTCCTATTTTAAATACTGGGCAGAAAAAAACAATGACTAACTATTAACTAGCTCTGTGAAACAGGGTAAGCCACTTAATACTCTCCCAAGAAGCATACACAGGTAAGATGCTTTAAGTTCATACAAGCCATAGGTAGATATCAAGTATCTATAACTAGCAGATACCTATCTCTCTGCTAAGCCTATTTTCTTTCCTGGATTAAACATGTTCAGTAATTATGATTTTGATAACAATTCTAAATGCAATATTGGAGATCTGACCTCAAAAGGACAGAGATTGTTGTCAATGGGGATAAGAAGCTCCCAAGGAAGGCTGAATCCAGTTAGATAGTTCCTGATCTACTTGCCACCCTAACTCCCCTAAGTTGCAGCAACCAAGAGGCAGAGAAACAAAGCTTGGCTAACATGGTACCTCTGCCAAGTGACAGCAATGGTGTAACCTTAAAATCTGCAGAATTTATCAAAAAGAATTTTCTTACTTCAAATAATCTCTTCAGAAGTCTGAATAATGGTGCAACCTGAAAAAGAGAAAAACAACGTTGTAATTACCCACAGTACAGTCACTAACTCATGGAATGGCACATAGGAAGAACAGAGAAACATGGGTAATCATTCTCAAAATGGCAGCTACGTTCAGACTCCCCAAGCCAACATTCTGGAGGATCTTACTGCCTTAAACTTTACGTAAAATCATTAACCTGTTCCAAAGCATGAGACTGAGGTCTACGAAATGCCTGATCGGCCATACTCAACAAATGTGCTGTCATTCAAATTCACTCACTAATACAGCTAAAAACAATGTGATTCTAGAAAGCTATGCTCTGGTGAAAAATTGAATGCCTTCTGGGGTCCATTTAAAGAAAGGAAAGAATTTTTAAGTGCAATCTGCATCTTTTTATAAAATCTGTACTAAGAAGCACTCCAAAACATCTAAAATGAGACCAGAGGAGTTAACTCTGGATAACTCCATTTCCTCTCAAGGTAAACAAAACTTTAATCTACGCTGTTTGCTACATTCTCTTTTCATTACTACCCCCTCAAAACCAATTTACATTCTTCCTTTTTTTCACCCTGAAGGCCATCCCTAAAGCATTTAAACATAAACACAGGGTTCTATGCAGTCCCCAAGAGCAATACGAGAAATAAGGAAAGGAGATTGTGATTTAAGTCATAGGATTCCTATTGAAGGCTCTTGAGTTTACCTCATCACCAATTATCTTCTAGCAATCATGCAATTAGACTTTCTATCTTCTTGTTTTATAGCCAAGAATGTTGTATTCAGAAAAGAAGCCAGGACACAGCACATAACTTTGGAATATCTTTGTGATTAATGTCGTTCCTTACAGCTTCAGGTAAACATGTGTTTTTTAAAAAGATCACTTAAATCTGGTAAACGGTCCATTGTCAAAACAGCAAAGGTTAATCTAAACATAGGGCACCAAGAAAGTGGCAAGATTATTAAAGTGGCTAATTTTTCTACAGCTTATTGAGGGAAAAATGCTTATATGAACCACACACATACACACAGACCCTCACTCACTCACTCTCTCTTTCATTCCTCAGGTAAACTTTTCTGATAGTGACATTTTATGGTAGAAAAATGCACAAAGATAATAAGGATGAGAGTCAAGCCAAACACTAATTATGCAATCAATAAATTGTACCTAACTGTAGAGCTGGGAATACATAGTATCTCTTCACATTTTTAAAAGAAGCTTATTAGGTATCTCTAACTTTTAAACATAATACCTACCTATACATCAGGGCCTTGCCTTTCTCATTCCCCAAAGCAAAGTATCCACCTCTGGGAGAAAAATCCATGGTATGAACATGAGAAATATTTGTTTTAGTGCCTGGGAAGTTAGAAAATACTGTGCAAGAAGGAAGGTGAACCTGCAGGAGGTAGTAAAAAGCCTTATATTACAAAAACTGGAAATTAGTCTTTCTTAAAATTTAATTTTCACTACCATTTTGCTGGAACAGAAAGTTCGTTTTGATTGGCATATACATAAAAGTATTCTTTTTTTTTTAATTTGTTTTAATTAGTTACACATGACAGTATAATGATCTTGACATATCATACATCTGAATCAAATGGGGTATAATTTCTCATTATTCTGAGTGCACAGGTTGCAGAATGACATTGGTCATACAGTCACATATATACATACAGCAATACTAGTGTCTATTTTATTCTGCTGCTCTTCCTATCCCCCCTTCCCCTCCCATCACTTCTCTCTTAATGGAGCAAACTGGTCCAAAATTAAGATGTGTGTGTGTGTGTGTGTGTGTGTGTGTTGCTAGGGATTGAACGCAGGGCCTTGTGCCTGGGAGGCAAGCACTCTACCAACTGAGCTATATCCCCACCCCAAAATTTGATTTTTCATGTCTATTAATTGTTAAGGAAGAGAAGAAAGCACTCATGTGACATCTAGCCTGGTACCTGAAGATTCAGATGTTGGCTGAACAAATAAAGGAATGTATAAACTCAAGCGAAACATCAATAGTAGTGCCTATTAATGCTCTAGCTAACTGACTAAAATCTGATCACAGGAAATAGACATCTTAAATATTATCAAACACCTTATTATATGTAACTGAAGCCTAGGTAAAGTCAAACCACATCTTTCAATATCATAAAATTTTCCTTTTACAACAACATGATAAACTCCTTGCCATCTGCCATCTCTCCTCAAAGAGAGTTGAATCATGAAAACCAGATTCATCAAGTGGAACTGATGATGTAGAGGGAGCCAAAAGTTTAGCCAAAGCCGGGACTAGGCATGAGGAGGAGCACTGGCCCTTTCTTTCAAGTCTACTTACAGAGAAAATGGGCCTCAGTCCTAGGCAGGTGAGATGAGTCTCACCTAATTTATAGACTCAGTGTCTTCTCCCATGATGTTGCCCGTGGAATTCTCTCTCTGCACTAGTGCTCTTCTCTCAGACCAATGATCAATCCTACCTGGCTAGAACTCTAGTGTGCTCTGATCTTCTTTGGGTCCCTGTATTAAAAGGTATAACTGACCTATTAATTAAGAAGGAGACCCATAAAGACCCAACTTCATTAATTTAAAATTTTCTTTGGTTTCTAATGCCCCTTCTGTCATGGCAGTTAAGGGTCCAGAGATCAAAATTCAACAAGGAAAAGCTCATTTATTCTTAATTTATTGGACAGAAAAGTCCACTACTTTCTACTACAATTAGAGATTATAAATATGATAACAATTTGACTTCTGCATCTCCTACTGATGCAGTGGCTTAGATTTATATTCACTGCTTTATGCTGGGATAACAAAATTATTTGGATCATTATAAGCAATTGCATTTAATGATACCAACACTGTTTCACTGAGGCATTTTGAAGCTGCAATGCTTGGCTTCTTTCCATTAGATATTATGGTTGACTACCATTTAAAAAATGTGATTTGGCTGTTACTAATGAATTCCTTCTGTGATTCTGCCACAATAAAAAAACATAAAGGCTGTCATGATCACTGAAGCAAACTAGGCAGAACTAACTACCATGCATCTTGCAGAATATATTATGTCAACAGGAGATAGATGCCATGGTTTTCTAAAACAATTTACTACCATTAAAATGATAAAAAGGTTAATAAGTACGAGTACACCGCCACTCCCATAAGCGGGGACTGAGGAGCAGGGATTTTAAAGCTGCCTTGAATTGGAAACTTCTCATTTATCAAATGATTCATTCAACAGAAAGGAAAAAAAATGCAAATGCTGTATTTTTTCAAACTCTTTTCCCAGCAAAACCCTTTAAGAAAATCTTAGGCAGAGAATCTCAATATATACCACACGTAACAGTCACACTATTCTATATAAGCAGGAGCTGAGCCTCCCCCTTGCCATTTCTGTCATATAAAGTCCTCTGCACAGCAGCGCCAGAAAGAATACAAGATCTAGAATCATAATTCTGCCCTTTACAAACTGTTGTATATTTATCCTCTGAAGGACTGTCATTTGACACAAATTTTTGAAGAATTCTTCATAAGTCTTTGTAAACGACATACTATTATATAAGCTCATACTTGATAAAGTTTACAAAGCTTTTTGTTAAACAAGCAAGATAAAAACAGCAGTCTATAAAACACAACCTGGCAGTGTACACTAACAAAAGCATGATGCAATGATGCTATTCAAAGTTCTATGCCATCTGTTACACCTGGCACCTAGAGCAAATAATTGTTAAATGAAAAAACTGATTCTGTTTGAAGACTAGAAAACTTCACAGAGAAGGGGGTGACATTTAAGCTGAGCTCTGAAGTTGTGCAGTAAAGCCATAAACATGACCATATACCAAGTCCAGTGAGCTCTTCTAGTAAATCATCAAATATGAAGATAGTCCTAGCTTTTTGAATTCCATTATTTTTACATAACTCATTTTCAAAATCTAAGAATAGAGTTCATTGGTACAGCATCGGACTAGAACATATAAGATCCTAGGTTTAATTCCCAACACCAAAAAGGAAAAAAAAAAGTGTGTGTGTATATGTATAATATATACATATACACACACACACACACACACACACACACACGAGAATTGCCTCCACTCCATTAAAATAACAGGCCTTTAAAAAGTAGAAATGGCTGAGCACAGTGGGGTACGCCCGTAATCCCAGTAGCTCGGGAGGCTGAGGCAGGAGGATCCCAAGTTCAAAGCCAGCCTCAGCAACTTATCAAGGCACTGTAGCAACTCAGTGACACCCTGTCTCTAAATACAAAATAGGGCTAGGGATGTGGCTCAGTGGCCTAGTGCCCCTGAGTTCAGTCCTCAGTACCACCCCTCACTGCCCCACCGCCGCCAAAAAAAAGTAGAAATGGTCAGGCATGGTGGCACATGCCTATAATCCCAGCAATTTAGGATCAAAAAGGCCAGCCTTAGCAACTTAGTGAAGTTTAAGTTGCGAAGCAACTTAGCAAGATTCTATCTCAAAGTTAAAAAGATAAATAAATAATAAAAAAATAAAAGGGTTGGGGATGTGGCTCAGTGGTTAATATACCCCTGGGTTCAATCCCTGGTGCCAAAAAAAAAAAAAAAAAAAGAAAGAAAGAAATGAAATGGAAAGAAAATTGCAGAGGTATGAAGTGCTTGCCTTAAGTATTATGTAATTTATATGCTGAAAGAAACCTCTGAAAAATGAAGACCACCACTTACAAAATATGGAGAATGGAGAGCTCAAGCTTTCCCAAAAGAACTGATATAATACAAATTTATGGCTCCTGTGCATTATTTCAACAAGCACACCTGAAAGCTATAATATTAGTAATTTCTAGACAACAACTTAAGAGTGACTAAACAAAGTCACTTTTTAAAATAATCTAACACTTGACCTATCCTGTTAGCATTTCCTGTTTTGAACTTCAGATTTTAAAGTTACATGTTAAAAACGAAGAGAAAAGGTGTATTACCAATCTCACTGCTTCTTTCATTTTTTCTGAAGCTATTGCCAAAATTTCTGTGGTAGGACTGAAGACCAGAGAAGTAACACCAGTAACCAAGTTCATTATAGCTTTCACTGGCTTTGGGTTTGCTTCTTGGAGACAAGAATCTTGATTATATATGTTTACCACTCCACAATTAGAACTGCAAAAAGAAAAGATAATAAAACAGATTTTAAAACATGTAAAAAGGATTTTATCACCTAAGTGAATATAGATTTCAACCTACAAACTGATATTTGCATGTTTCATAAGTTATATATAGAACCTAGCAGCTGAAGAGACCATGGCAAGGCAAAAGCTAGACACATTCTATTAGTTCTACTTCAGTCCTGCTGAGCTCTTAACAACTCTGGCAACTTTCAGTGTGGGTCTAGCTAGAAAATCCAATAAAGCATAGAATCTCCTTTATTCCTTCATGTGATAAATACTTACCAAATGTCAACTCTTTGTCAGGCACTACTTGAAAGCTTGGAATGCAAAGGTGAACAAAAGAGACCAAGACCACTATTCTCATAGTACTTATAGCCTAATATTCTAATGTGTGAAAGATACCTGACCTTCCCCTATGATTCCTTACTTTTATTATTCTATTGCATTTATGAGGACTTCCAAAATAGTAACAGAGAGCAGCAGTAAAAGCAGGAACCTTAGTTTTGCTTTCTGGGAGTTATCTACAGTCAAGGGTTATAGAAGATATCATTTACTCCAAGTTTACTTAAATAAATATAATTCAGCAATGAATTATATCCAAAACTTTAAAAGAGTAAATCCTATTGACCGAAAGTTAGTATATCATAAACAGAATCATTCACAGGCAAGAACTTTAGGGTAAATATCTTTTATCTCAATTATCAAACTCCAAATGCCCTGGGCATCAAGAATAAAGTACTTGTAACTCACAGATATTTAATTCAATGGTCATAGTCTACTTCTGCTACTATAACAAAACACTTATCACTGGGTAGTTTATATACAATAGAAAATTATTTCTGATAGTTTTGGAAGCTAGGAAGTCCAAAATTAAGGTGCTGACAGGCTTGATGGCTACTTCCAAGATGGAGCCGTATTGCTGCATTCTCCCAAGGGGAAATGTGTCTTCAGCAGAAGGAACTGAAACTACTCCCTAAGCCCTTTAATGAAAGTCCTAATGAGGAAGATATAGAGGGCTTAGGTAATCAGGGCAAGATGGCCAGTGAAGAGGTCAGGGGCAGGGCCAGAACAAAGGAGCAATGGAAAGGGTCTTCTGATGAGGTCAACTTCCTGCCTGATGAAAGTGCTCATGGACACAAGCAGGGGACTCAATCAGCCACTTCTTCACTTGTGCTCCTAAGTGGGGAATCCAACAGAAAAACTAAAACAGAAGCGTGGACAGAGGAGGCACCAATCAATAATAGTGAGGACACATGGTCAGCAGAGGGAGTAAGGAGAAGAGGAAATTCCAGAGACCATAAAAAGAACAAGCCAAAACTCCCCCACTGGACTCCCAGCTCTGGGGTCCCTTCTCTTCAGAGAAGTCTATTTGTGTCTCTCTCTTTTCAATAAACCTACTTCTTGCCTGCTATCTCTGTGTCCTGTTCTTCAATTCTTTGTTGAACGGAGACAACGAACCCAGCACTCCTGGACAGTAACACTAATCCCATCCTTGAGGGATCTACCCTCATACCTTAATTGCCTCTTAAAAGGCTCTACTTCTTAATATTCTCATTTAAGTTTCCACATATGAATTTTAAGGGACACAATTGGCATAGCACAAACTTAATTTAGTTGCAATATAAACCTGAGTAATGCAAGAAATTAAGCCTCAATCTCACAAGAGTGAAACACAATCCACTAAGTATACTTTCATTCCTACTACTGAAACAGCCTAATTTATGCACTTAATACTATTGACTGCTGATAATTAACCAGGAACAACAAAAAAAAACAAATTCAGTTTACATGAAAGATTCTATAACTTGATATTATAGACAATACACAAATAGTATGTTAGAATTAAGTACTTTAAAGTCATCCAACTACTTATACACACATTTTCTCACTTGATACTAGTTTTTTGTTCTTTCTGCCTTTTTTTTTTTTTGCAGTACTGGGAACTGAACCCGGGAGTGGCTCTCACTCATCTAGCTACATCCCCATCCCTTTTATTTTTATTTTGAGACAGTCTCCCTAAATTGCCCAGGAGGGACTTGAATTTGCAATCCCAAGTAGCTGAGATTAGAAGCATGGGCCACCACTACTAACTCCTTAAATAGAACTATGTAGTCCACTCAAGAAAAACATTACATATCTTCAATTTATATAATTGTTATGGACTATTTGTGTACACCCAAAATTCATGCTGAAATCCTAACACTCCCAATGTGATGGTATTAGGAGGTGCAAGGTCTTTAGGAAGTAATTAGATCATAAAAGTGAAGCCCTCATTGATGGGATGAGTGACCTTATAAAGAGACGCCAGAGAGCTTCCTCACTGGTTTTCTACCATATAAAAAAAAACAGAAAGAAATCAGCCATCTGTGACTTTAAAAGAGAGCCTTCATGGGGCTGGGGATGTGGCTCAAGTGGTAGAGCGCCCGCCTAGCATGCGTGATACACTGGGTTCGATTCTCAGCACCACATAAATGTAAAGATATTGTGTCCACCTAAAAAAACTAAGAAATAAAATGTTAAAAAAAAAAGAGAGAGAGAGAGCCTTCATTAGAAGCCAACAATGCTATCATCCTAATCTCAGACTCCCAGTCCACAGGAACTGTGAGAAATAAATTTCTGTTGTTTAGGGCTGGGGATGTAGCTCAGTTGTTAGAGTGCTTGCCTTGCATGCACAAGGCCCTGGGTTCAATCCCCAGCGCCACAAAAATTAATTAATTAATTTCTGTTATTTATAATCCACCCCAAGTCTATGGTATTTGGTTACAGCAGCCTGAGCCAACAAACACAAATTTCATTTTTTCCTTCTTTTTTTTGACTTGAATCAAAATATTTATTTGTTGTACTTGTTTTTATACTAAATCTCTTTTCTTGCTAAGAACAGATTTAAATCCATTTTAATTAAGGACAAAAAGTTATAATCCACAGATCAAATCCTACCTTCTGAACATTAGAGACGTCTTAAATACTGCCTATTCTTATTTGACTATCCCTTAAGTTTGTGGAACAAAAATAGCACAAGTTAATTATTTTGATATATACACCTTATTTCTATAGTTGAGTTTATGCTAAAAGAATATAACTCATTCTAATATGCTAGTAAAAGCTACTAAATATAATGATATCCACACGTCCAGCAGTAGGTAGTGCCACAGGAATATATAACATCACAGAAAAATTATTCTAGAAAAAAGTACACCTGCATTAAAAACTGCCAGAGATACAACAGAACCGAATATGGCAATATGAGATGAAGCTGTTCCAAAAAAGCTTTGTGGAAAGGTGAAACTTAAGCTGGGGAAGGGAGGAGAGAGGTGAAAACAAATAAGAGCAAGAACACAGGAAGAAATAGCCATATTTATTATCTCGCCCTTGAACTCCTAACTGAAAGAACAATGTGACTGTTACTCTCCCACCCAAACCATAGCTTCCTCCACTAGAAATGGGCTCCCAAACCAAAGGCAGTCAATCCATTAGCAGATCACAACCACAAGTGTCCTGGTACACAAAGTTCTTCCCAAACAGGAAAGAAGACCATTAGCCAGATCAACATCTCTTAGGGTGGTAAGGGGGACTGAGCAACAAAAGGACAGTCAATTGAGGTAATGAATGATCAGTCAGATCAGAAATATGGAGGCTGGTTCAAAAGAAAAGGAAATAAAATGCTAATATCTCCAAAGTCCTTCTCCCTCCTCCAACCTGTTTCCAAGGTCACCTGCCTCCAGGGAACTGTTCCTCCCTACAAAGAGTAGTTAATGAATGCCCCCTGGGCCACTCCCTACCTGACTGTATCCTGAAGCTTTTGGCCCACCTTTGGGTCACTCTAAGCAAGTAAGAGGAGGATAGAGCATACAAACAAAGGAAATCTAAAATCTACAAAAGGAAGGACACCCCCACTTCCTCAGGCACCAATTTCCACTTGCAACTTGGAACCCCTCCTCTGATCTGCAGAGGACTCTCTGTCTCTCGGTTCTATCCTATAAATAAAACTTTTGGCTCTTGCGCAGCTGTTTCTTGGATGTTAAACCTTGAGGGGGAGAACCCCACCCTGACACAACAACCACAGATCCTGATCAACACCAGTATCAGTGGAACTAGTGGGACTAGGACCCACCACATGCTGATGGTGGTGGGAGTCAAAGCTAAAAGGACATAGAAAGGGCACATGGAAGCCACAGATAAAATTATTTATTAAAAAAAAAAAACAACTACAACAGTGGTAATCAATTGGGTAATTTTGCTCTCTTGGGGAACTTCAATGTCATTGTCACAACTGGGGGGGGGTGAATGTACAGAACTGACACCTAGTAGGGAAAGACTAGGGATGCTGTTAAACATCCTATAGTGCACAGGACAGGCCCAACAACAAAGTATCCAGCCCAAATTATCAATGAAGCATACTGGTAAAGAAAATAGTATGTAAAAGTAGGGAAGGAGAATACTGTAGTACCATACCAGCAGAATGTACAACAAAATGAGAAACAGTTCAATCCCTCGAGACACCTGAACACTTTGCACAGCCCTGTCCATAGCTGTGTGTTTCTCCTTTGTAGACATGTGAAGGTGGCCCAAAGGTCACTCCTCAAATGAAGACTTTAGAACACAGGGCTAGCTGCATACTTCACAGAAGAAATATGATCAGCCAACAAATATATGAAAAAAATGTTTAACATCAATAGCAATTAGGGAAATACAAATTAAACTGAGATTTCATCTCACTCCAGTCAGAATGGCAATTATCAAGAATACAAGTTAACAATAAATGTTGTTACAAGTTATACTCACATTGCTGGTGGGACTGCAAATTGGTGCAACCACTATGGAAAGCAGTATGAAAATACCTCAGAAAACTTGGAATGGAACCACCATTTGACCTAGTTATCCCACTCCTCAGTGTATACCCAAAGGACTTAAAATCAGCATACTACAGAGACGTGGCCGCTTTAGTGTTTATAGAAGCTCAATTCACAATAGCTAAACTATGGAACCAACCTAGATGCCCTTCAACAGATAGATAAAGAAAATGTGGCATACACACACAATGGAATATTACTCGGCCTTAAAGAAGAATAAAATTATGGCTTTTGCAAGTAAATTGATGGAGTTAGAGAATATCATGCTAAGTGAAATGAAAAAGTAGGGAAGGAGAATACTGTAGTACCATACCAGCAGAATGTACAACAGACTGAGAAATAGTTCAATCCCTCAGGACGCCTGAACTCTACTTGACTTCAAACCCAAAAAACCAAAGGCTAAATGTTCTCTCTCATCTGTGAATGCTGACTCATAGGGAGTTCATCAGGTTGAATAGGGCGGAGAGTGGAGAAGGGAGCGGGAATGGGAATGAGAAAGACAGTAGATGAACCAGACATAACTTTCCTATGTTCATATACGAGCACACAACCAGTTTAAGTAACTCCACATCACGTACAACCACAAAATTGGGAAATTATTTACCATAAATATATATATGATATGTCAAAATACATTCTACTGTCATATAACTAAAAAAAATAATTTTTTTAAATTTTTAAAAATTTTTTTAAAAAGACACAGGTTAGAGATGCAATTCAGTGGCAAAGCACTGCATAGCATATACAAGGCCCTGGGTTCTATTTCCAGCGACTTGTAAAAAAAGAGTTTAAGCCACAACCAGAGCTACCCCAGCCACTGTTGTCCTATAGAATATCAACCAAACAAGCTGAAAACATTCAAATTCTTAAGTGAACCCTATCAATTCTTCTCTCCTCCTCAGTCTCTTTCATAGTCACCTGTTTCTCTACTACCCCAAGGTTCTATATCTTGAACTATACAAGAATGATTTCCCAAGTATGTACCAACACTACTGTTATAATGAATAAAAACATATAGCAATCTTTAATTAACCAAAGCCATTTAAAAAAGGACAACATGAACTAAAGAGTTTCCTATTTACTATATTCTTAGTTTCCTTACCAGAGCAAAACTGTAAATAGAAAGCATCCATGAAGTCAGGACATGGAATAAGAAGAGATGACAGTAACAGATGGGCTTTAAGATCAAAGAAGTAAAATGCCCCAGTAGAGGCCAGAATGGAAGGTTTCCACCCCAGCCCTAGGAAAGAAAGCAAGAAAGGCAGGCAGTCACATGATCCAGCTTCTTCTGCCTCTGCCTGGCTCCTCCTGCAATAGCAACTCTCCCTACCTTCCTGATGTCATCAACAACTTCTCTAACAAGGCTTAAAGACCTTCTTTATATGTTCAATAATAAGTATCTGATAATGGTCTTTGGCTAAGCCTATCAGAATCCAATTATGCTGAAAGGCAATTAAAATTAAATTTGTTTAAACTACTAGTATTAGATTCTTTCCTGTTCAGACCCTTCAATGGGAAATTAATAAAAAGTGACACAAAAAGGAAAGGGCAAGAACCAGAAAAAGATTAACTATACTGACTTCACAAATTTAAAAGGAAGTCATTTCTTTTTCTTTTTTCTTTTTTTTTTAGTTGCAGATGGACACAATATCTTTATTATTTTTATTTACTTATTTTTATGTGGTGCGGAGGATCAAAGGGCCTCACACATGTGAGGCAAGCGCTCTACCACTGAGCTATAACCTCAGCCCTAAAAGGAGGTCGTTTTTGCGCAATTATCCTTGCCCCACATAGAGGCAAAAGGAGTTCTGCTTAAAATTATTTATATTAGTTTTAAACACTAGTCTTCATTTTAAAACTTTATTCCCAGATCTGCTAATCATGAATTGGTGCCATGGTGCACACTATTTTGGCAAATATTTTTCTAGAGTTGAGATTTATCCTGCTACAGGTTTGGCATAGGATGACTAAGTAACAAAGGAAAAGCAACAAAGGAAAGAAGAGGACCCAACCAGAGTACCTCAACGCCAAGTAACCATCACTATCCTACCACCTACACACATCCACAGGATGCTGGCCTGGTCTCCAAGTTCCACAGCCTTGTTCTACTTGCATTTCCTCCCAGGCCTCAAGGTAGCTTACCAGTTTTCAAATGGTGGCAGGGATAATATACAAGCAGTTTCCTCAATTTTAAGGAGTGAAGTGAACATAACATAGAGAGTATGCTGTTTTTGCACATTCAGACCCACTTGACTTCCCAACATAGGCAGGATTTAACTAAAACCTCTTGATGGCTCAATTGTGTTCAATCTAAGAAAGATTTTTTTAAAAAATACTGCTTCTCAAAATTACAGAACCATAGACGTCAATTAGTAGTTTAGTAAGTTAGTTTAGAACCACTGGTATGTATCCAATGCCTTCCTCTTCCATCCTGAACCTTTAGAATCAAGTAGGAGAATTAAGCAAACAAAAGATAATAACCCAGGTAATAACCACTTTTTTTCTAATAATGACACAATGATATGTGTTTAAGTAATATTTTTTAAGTTTCTATAATACTAACAAATGGAATTTCCAAATAACATGTTTTTGGTTTATACTATATAGCTAAAGGAAAATATGCTAAATCTTTAACACTAAAATCCAAAGTTGACTTTTTCTACCTCACCAATGGCAATAATATTAGAAAAATGTGATGTGATCAAATGGGCATTTCAAATATAGAAAACTATACAATAATTTAAGGTAATGTAGCACTTTTTTGCTAACAAGCTGATAAACTGTTTATATTAGTTTTAAACACTAGTCTTCATTATAAGTATTAAAACTGCATGAAAGGACTGAAGTTATGGATCAGTGGTACAGTGCCTGTCTAGTACATGTGAGGCACTGGATTCGATCCTCAATATCACATAAAAATAAAATAAATCAAATAAAGGTATTGTCTATCCACACTAAAAACAAAAACAAAAAACCCACATGAAGACAATGCAAAGCAAAAGTCTGACCTGAGATGATTTATTTCCTACTAGTGAGTAGATGTAAACAAAACTCCTAATTCCCCGCTGAGTATATTCAATCCCTAAGCAGTTTCTCATTAGCACAATGTGATTCAGGTTTCACAAAACTCTTTACTCACCCACAAGCCACATATTGTCCATTCCTCGATGTAGCAATGCTTAATCCACGTAAACTGCCTTCATCAACAAATCTGTTAAGGCATTTCCTAGAGTTCACATCCCAAACATAAACTTCCCCATCCTCTGAATGAAAGAGCCAAAGAAAGGTTTGATTAATTTTAAGTAAAATTGAAAGGCAACTGAACTGACCACTCTTAGGCTCTCTTTAATAGTGTAAAGAACTACAAATAAAAACCCATGATGACCTCTCCTCCTGCCACTAGAAATCCAGACTAAAAATATTTCTTATACATTCACATACATAGAAAAAACATTATTCATTTAAACAGGTTATCTTTTGGTTTAAAGTGGATGATCACAAATTCTTAAGCTTTCAGAAAAAGTTTATGTATTCTACTTAGATAAATTACTGGAACAAAAACATGAAGGGGGAAAAAACATTAATCAACAGACATTAGAGTACCTAATACATAAGGCTAGGTGATATAGATACCAATTTTCTTTGATGGAGGAAAAAAATTAAGAATAAAGTGACCCAGATCACAAAGAATTTATAACTTAATTATGCTACCACTTAAATATTAAGGAATGATACACATGAGTAACAAGCATAAATAATTTAAAGAAATTATAATTATGCAGGCAAGATAAAAAGAATATTAAATATAAGAGACCACAAATATTTTCATGATAGAAATAGCCATCTAATGGCCAAAATTAGTCCTTATTCTTTATTTCTCTTTCCCATAGCACTTGATATTGGTGACCACCCTCTTCTCTGTCGATGTACATTTCTATAATGACCCCTACATCCACATCAAAGATGGTTCTTCTCTCTCTCTTCATCCCTCCTTTTTCTGAAGTACTGTTTCAAAGTTTGCCCTATTATAGGTATTCTTTTTGTCACAATGAGAAATCAGTGAATTTTACTGTTTTACTATTTCTTTGACAAAATTTTCCAGGCTGGAATAAGGGTGCAGATTAAGCAGAAGTAAACAGATTAGCCCTGCATACTAAATGGCTAATCCCTCACTATGACTAGGTTAGAGAAAAGGCAAATGCCAACAAAAACTAATTTCCAAAACTAAACATGATTTTCTTTCTAAAACAATAAAATTGAAAAGGAACATTTTTTGGGATAATTTGAAACATAAACACATCCAAAGCTTCTCTTGTATCGTCAATATGACTTACCAGAAGAGGTATATATTTTCTTACTATCTGAAGAGAATGTGGATGCTGAAACCCCTCCATTAATCTTCATGCTACCAATTAGTTCTTTGGTCTAAAAAAATAAACACTGATTATCAACTGTTACAAGGTATGTGGAAGGACCATAGTGTATAGAACAAAAGCAATCTAGCCCGTTATTTTCTAGATCCTACTTGTTTTTCCTATCCTACGGTTTCCCCAAACTGCCTACAATTTCTCCCAAAGTTCTTCTACTTCAGATGCAGATTTAAGAACACACTGAGTTAAGGTTCAAGACTGTTCTTACACTAATGTCTAATCCAAGAAACAAGCAACAACAATGGTTCACCTTCATTGATAGCAAATGAGAATATCCAGCAACACCATTTATGAGCAAGAAGGAGCCATCTGGGGAGACTTCAAATCTCCTCACTCTTTTTTCTTTCAAACCTAAAAAAGGACGATAAATTGATTTAATGAGATTTTTATATGGTTTTCAATAAAGATATCTCCTACTGACAAACAAATTCTTTCCTTTTAAAATGTCTAAGTTTTGCAAATTAAGTGAACCCCAGGCTTAGATTCTAAATAAATCTAACCTCATGGATCACCAATAAGGACCCAATAAGGTCACTACGAACACTACGAAGTACTGGGCAAACTTCTTTTTTGTCTTGTTTAGCATTCAATATTTTAATTGTAGGCCAGAACAAGCATAAATAATTTAAAGAAATTATAATTATACAGGCCAAGATAAAAAGAATATTAAATATAAGAGACCACAAACAATAAACCTATCAACTAACTTTCCAAATGAAAGTAGCAATATCTTTAATTAACTAAACAGATAAAATCCTATTTTGTCACAAACTTCAACACCAGAAGGGAGTACACTGCCATCAGAGGCAGACAAAAGACATATATAAACTATTTTCTTGCCACCTACGGCATTCTATGATGAACAGGAGTATAATCATTAACTTTGTGGGTCCAAAAACAAAATCAATGTGTCAGTGTATTCAAGAACTGGTTACTTTCTCAAGATGGGGATTCATATAACCAAGTCACAGGAGATAAGTATATAATCCAGAGTCAGTTTATTCATTTACAAAGGGACATGTCCCTTTTTCCATGCCTGAAACATTCAGTAACTATATCAGAATGCTTAGAGTCAAGTTACTCACTAAAAAGCTGCCTAATGAAAAGAATACATTGTGGCTCATGGGTAGAGCACTCACTCCCCTAGCATGTGTAGCATGTGCGAGGCCTTGGGTTGGATCCTCAGAAACACATAAAAATAAATAAATAAAGGTATTAAAAAAAAAGAATAAATACAACCAGGGCTGGGGCTGGGGCTCAGTGGCCAAGTGCCTGCCTAGCATGTGTGAGGCCCTGGATTCGATTCTCAGCACCACGGATCAATAAATAAAATAAAGGCCCATTGACAAGTAAAAAAATATTAAAAAAAAAGAATACAACCAATTATCTCCAAGAAATGGAAGGTATACCAAGGGAGAAGTAGTAGAAGAGGCTTTTCTCTATATACTCATTTGTATATATTAGACTTTGCACAACAGGAACAACTGCCCAGTCAAAGAAAATTTAAGTTGCTACATTAAAATATTGAATTGAGAAAAAGGATTTAGAAAAATGTAGTGAAGCACTGTATCCCTACAGGAAAATGCTGGTTAAGTTTACTATAGGCCATTTCTAGCCACAGGTCATGAACCCTAACAAGGTTAATGGAATGTACCATTTGCATCAATCCTATGTTCTTCATTTTTCAAACTACTATTTATGACAACCAGGAGTTTGCATACATATAAGAAGGCTTTCATATCCTGATTAGTTGGCAATTTCCCAATAAATGTCTAATTAATTTCTTGAGCTCACAGTTTTATACAGCTAGTGATTTAGAGCAGTGGTAGAGCGCTTGCCTAGCATGCATGAGGCTGTGGGTTTGACATGGCACCACCAAAAAAAAAAAAAAAAAAAAAAAGCATGATTTTATAATGATGAAAGGCTGAGAACAGTGCTCAATAATATACCACCACAAAGAGAAATATATTTATCATTACTATCATTATTACCAAGCTATGTTTACTGAAGGTAGAGAAAAAGGAAAAATATCAGGAAGAAAAGACAAATGCCAAGTCCAAAAAGCAGACTTCATACACTTCAGATATCCACCAGATCCAGAGTAAGGTTACTAACCAACACTTAGCTAAACCTCAATGTACTCTGCTAGAGGATGCAAGACAAGGATGGTCCAAAATCCATTCCTTTGATTAGTGAAGTAATATGTAAAACTAATAACTACTGCACATTATTTTCTATTTCAATATGAGGAGTGGGTTTAAATTTTTTCCAAGTACAGTCCATGAACCAGCAGCACCAAAGAGCAACTGGAAATGAAGAATCAGACACACCTCAGACCTACAGAATCACAGCTGCAACTTAACAGGACTACCAGGTGATTCACATGCTCACTGACTTTGGCTTAAGGCACGGTTAGGTAAACCAGGAACCTACAGGATCATTAAAGGTGTGAGAAAATAGGAGAGAGTAGCAACAGTGAAAATAAACATCATAAATGTTTCTGAAGTTGGCTGTAATTCATTTTCAGCCACTAGTAGGAAAACACTTAAAGAAAGCTACTTTTGTCCTTTTACAGCTACACATGCTTTTTAACAGGGAGACTGCCAGTGAGCTATGGCCTATGCCAATGCTATATCCCAAGATTTATTATGCTAACCCAGCCAACCTCATTACAATGGTTTTGGTTCCCAAAGGAATCATTACGTGTCACTATATTTTGTGGCAATATAGGTAGGAGAATACAGGAAAAGAATGGATAAGGTAGAAGTTAGATAAATCTTCACCTGATGTTTATTTTTATGTAGTTACTTCTGAAGACTGATCTACCTCCAAAATAGTGCTTTATTCCGCTAATCAAAATTTATAATAAGCAGAATTAAAGGGTATAAAAATTTCCTATCAGAGAAGAAAAACAATGTGTCCAAGGAAGTGGATTCCAGGTCTTCTTGCTCCCTGTTTCAAGCTCTTTCTGCTACCTCAATTGCTAACTGTACAACAACATATCTGCAAATTAAGATTTTTCCATAAGTGCTTAGTAACTAAGTTAGTTAACTTGTTTAATTCAAACATATTAGCACAATGACATTTTCCTAATACTAAAGAAAAAAAAAATGAAAAAGTAGTTGTGAATACCATTAAATCAACTCAGCTTGGGCAGGGAATGAATGGCAGGCAGCGTGTTCAACAACAATCTTACCTCTCACTTGATGCACAGGAATTAACTTTCCAGCTATCATATCATAGACATAAAGAACCTTGCTGTGAATACTTGTGGCTAAAACTTCTTCTCCATTAGCACTAAAACAAGCCTTAAAGATTGGAAACTTGTCCAAATAAATGCTCTGGATTTTAGGATTTGTTTTGCCATCAACCTAGAAGGAAGCACAAAATATTTATTTTGGCTATTTCTATGGACTCTATATGCTGGTAGTAAACATTTTTCATGACAAGTCTTCATTCTAAAATGCATACCTGAAACAGAGACACGGCATTATCCAACCCTGCGACCATCACAACCTGTGCGTGAGGATGGAACTGCACTGATGAGATCCGAGCAGTGGTAGGCCGTTCAGCATTAGCAGGTTGGCAGTTCTTTATCTAAAGAAAAATAAAGCTGGAATTTTATCAGTCCAAATCAGTTAATATTATTTAGAGCATGAGAAAAACACAAAAATAGTTTATAAATCAGAACAACTAGAATGGTAACCAAAAGATCACAGCTCTGGCACCAACTAGCAAGTCACTTCACCATCTTTCAAATTAAGAGATTAAATCACCAAATGTCTAGATTTAAACTTTAAAGCATTAGCATACTATCATTCAAGATACATTCATTTAAGTTAGGAGATTTTCACGTCTGGAGAAATTTTACTTAAAACTACTGCTCTGGTAGCACAAGTGTAAGAGGCACCATGCAATTGTCCCCACAGCTCTATGGTTGGCACAGACTGCTTTATGTTCTCCTCCCAGGGTACCTGGTTGCTAGTTTAAAGTGATGGTAATCTCATGAATCACTGGGACTATTTTCAGTTACTGCTTCTGGCTTTACAGGTTTTTTTCCCCTGCATCAAAAATTCAACTAAAAACAAAGCTGGGTTGGGGATATACCTCAGTTGGTAGAGCGCTTCCTCGAATACACATGGCCCTGGGTTCAATCCCCAGTACTACCACCAAAACAAAACAAAACAAAACAAAAACAACAATGCAAATCAGGTATGGTGGTGCACACCTGTAATCCCAGCAACTTGGGAGGTACAGGGAGGAGGAGTGCATTGCAATTGAAGGCCAGCCTGGGCAACTTAGTGAAACCCTGTCTCAAAATAAAAAATTAAAATAAAAATGGTTGGAGATGTAGCTCAGGAATAGAACACGTGTGTTCTCAAAATGAAAATAAAAAAGTGCTGGGGATATAGTTCAGTGGTGGAGCATCCCTGTGTTCAATCTCCAGTACCTACCCCCACCACCCCCAAACGAACAAACAACAACAAAAAAAAACTAAAGCAAGTAGCATATGTATATTTGTTTTGTTTGTGAATACCGAATTAAATTTTTATATGAACTACATTTTCAATGCAGTTGAATGTATCCTATGAGGAGCGGAATGAACTGACCTCATAAGGTGGGAGGCAGCAGAATCTTTCTGTCTCCTAGTAATTTACCATGATAATTCCCTTGCCCCATCTAAATACACATGCTATATTATAGGGAAATATTTATGTCATAAGAAGGTCTATTAATTTGACACAAATTTAACTGAACCACTGTTCTAGGTAGGTTCTTGGTTACCACAAAGAACCAGCTAGATACAGTGATGAGTTAAAAAATAAATAGTATAGGCCACTTTAGATAGTCATTTCTGAGGTTACATTTGAGAAGAAAACTAAGAATGAGCAGGCCACTAGCAGTGCTTGAAGGACAGAAAGAAAGAGCAAGAGCAAAGGTTCAAAGGCAAGAAAAGACTCAGCATATGTAAGAAACAGAAAAGGCCTGCATGGCACAAGTAGGGAAATAGGGAAAAGACGTCTAAGATGAAGCTGATGATGTGAACAGAAGTCGGATCACAAAGGGCAGCGTAGGCTACGATAGGAATTCAGAAGGTTTCAAAAGCAATGAAAAGTGACATAACCAGATATTTTATTTTTAAAAGCTCCCTCGGGCTACTACATGAAGAATGGTTTAAAAAGAGGTCAAGTGGAAGGGGCAAGATCAGTCAACTACAAAGACACTGCAGTAGGTCAGGTGAAAGATGACAGCAGTATGGAAGCTGCTGCCAATGGAAATAAAATACAAAAGGAAAAGTCAAATAGGATTCCTAGAACTACTTGAGACATAATTTAGCATCTCTTAGGACAGTAAGTACACTTAATCCCACATATAATAGGAATCCATACATCTGTACTGGGAGGCAAACTGAATTTCAGAGGTAAATAACTGGATAGGTCCCAACTTTATAGACTCTCACCTTCAAGATTCCTCTTGGAAGAGAAGTTGATGTGGATATGAAATTCCCAGTCCTGTGCAACAAATCATCTTCATCCTCTTCACTTTCATCTAAGTTGAACAAACCCACAAAGTTGATCTTGAGAATCAACAAGATGGCCCATCACCTACCCCAAACTTCTATATTTCCAATTTCAACTCTCTCCAGCCTCCCAATCTTGATCACTTTTTAAAAGCCACAATTGACAAAAGCAAAACACATCTTAAAGAAAAGGGAAAAGATGACACAGTATGCAATATAGTTAAAATCAAAGCTTTACTGGAATGAAAGACTAACACACACACATACAGAGATTTAACTAAAGATGAAGTGAAATAAGTTTAAACAAAGCCAGCATTTAATTTAAAAAGAGCAACTCGTAATTATGGCAAAAATTACCAATAAGGTTGACAGCAGACCTAGCCAGATGACACACATGAAAAAGAACTAGAAAAAATTTCATTTTACTAAAAGATCAATGTCACAAACTCGCTATCAGAACTTCAAAGAGCTAACAGGGCTGTTTTTCCCCTAGATATTACTGATGATTCTAGCATGGAGCAGAAAGAAGCTGGGCAAACTTTTTAAACACTTATGGAGCTAAAAATACAAAAGTACTAGAAAGCCCTCTTGTTTCTCAAGCGGATCTGGATTAGGGCCACCAAAAGAATACACATGGAATTGAGAGTGAAATAAGAAAAATAAGAAAATCTTCCAGGAACTGAAATCCAGCTTTATATCTTCATAATTCCTCAATGAAACTATATGCTCTGGGACTGCTCATGTGGCCTGCCCAATTACCTATTCAGGAACAAATATGGAAACCATCATCCTAGACCTAATTAATCCACATGAATTTTTATATATAAGGTCCAGCACTCAATGAAATGTAACCAAACCAATACTGATGAAATAACTTGCTTGGGCACAATGGCACATGCTTATAATCCCAACAATTCCAAAGGCTAAGGCAGGAGGATTGCAAGTTACAGCTAGACCTCTCTTTAACTTGAAGAGACTCCCAGCAACTAAGCAAGACGCTATCTCAAAAAATAAAAAGGTCTGGGGACGTAGATGAGTGGTAAAATATCCCTAGGTTCAATCCCCGGTACAAAAAAAAGAAAAAAAAAAAAAAAGAAATGAATAAGATAACTTGACTGCAAATGAAAAGGGAAAACAGACAATTCCCATAGGTAGTCTAGACAATGAAGTTGGCAGACATAAACTTCAAAGAATAGTGAATTGACATATTCTTATATGTATATAAGAATAATGAAAAATAATATTCAGAATTGAACCAAACAATTAGAAAATTTTTATAAAAAGACCCTAATGGAAATTCTAGAATTAAAACATGAAGTTATTAAAATTTAACCCTGAATGGATGTTTTTAACAGTGTATCAAAACTGGTTGAAGAGAGAATAAGTGATCTGGAAAATGGATCAAAAAAAAATCCATACTATAAAAGTATAGGGGAAAAAAAGAAAATACAGAAAGCATTTAACAAACATGCAAACTGTCAACTGGAGGGAAGGGGAAGGGTTTAAAATTAAAACAATGATAATAACAAAACAATCCTTAGTACTAACAAATTTTGGAGCTGTGTGATGTTACTTTTGTTGTTCTATTTGAAGGGGAGGACTTCTCTTTTAAAAAACTCAACTATGCATTTAAAAATACATTGGAGAGAATTGTGAAGCTGGATTCTTGTCACCATTCTGCTAATAAGTATACTGTGGGCAAGTCACTTATCTCTTTGAAGCTCTCTCATCTGTAAAAATGAAGGTGGGTTTAGGCTAGAATATCCCAGATGGTAGCAGGCTGGCAACTACTGACTTTCCATTTACTTTTTCCCCTGTGCACAAAGCCAAACAAAACTTCCTGGCATCCCTCAAAGTTAATGTAACCTCATGATATAGTTACAGCAAAACAAAAAATGTAGGCAAAAGTATCATAAAACCTTTCAGGTAAAGCCAATAATAAACCTCCTCTGGGGAGTCAACTTATATCAACACCTTGGACAGTTTCAAAAGGAAGACCCACCCAGAAACAGCAGACCCTTCAATTTGGGTCCCTTCTCACAAGCCCAATTTGATGTGCAAAAAAAAAAACAAACCCAAAACACAGGAAAAACCTTCTATTTGATTAAACTGCTGGGAGCTGAATGATTTACTGTTTCAACAGGTAGCACATCCTTATATCTATAATTACACAGATCTAAAAGGTTGGTGATTTATAAATGCAACATTCTAAAATGCATAATAAAAACACATTTCATACAGGAGGATAGAGTAGTGACCTAGAGTCTACAAGCATGTCATAAAAATGGCTAAAGGAACAAGGGATGTTTAACATGTTAAAAACAAAACAAAAAAAAACTTAGACATTTCTCAAATAAAAGAGCTTTATAAGATTAAAATTATGAGAGCTTATATAATCCATATATGTTCAAAAGGTAGGACTACAGTTGTTGGAAGATGAGTCTCAAAACAAACAAACAAATAAATAAATAAATAAATAAACAGTTCCAAAAGAAAAACAGTCTAGTAACAAGTACAACATTATTTCATATATTTAAGCAGAGGATAATATCATAGAAAAGATTCTTGAAGTGGATGAAATCAAACTATATCACTAATATTTCCTTCAACTTCTAAGAGCATCTGATTAGAAACAATGTTATTTTTCCTCTCAGACTGAACTTTCCAACAAAATTATACAAAATACTCACTCCCTGAATTAAAGACTGCAAGGGCTGATGGGGGTGGGAAGAGGTGGGTAGAGGTGGTGACAATCAAACAGCACTCGTTAGGTAACAAGGACGCTAAGGAAGGCACTCCTATACTATGTGGGAGGATATATATTCTAGACTTCCTCAAGGATTTCAAAGGTTAATTACAAGTCTAAAATTTATAACTTGAAACACAGAAACCAAATTGTGGCTAAGCCATCTGTATTTATAATATCTAAACTCAAAGGACATTAAATACCAGAAGACAATAATGATATGAGCCAACTTTAAAAACTAGAGTGGAAACCAGATTTTTTATGATCAATCATCTGGGCTTGATCTGACATGTACTTCATAAAAGACAAGAATATTACTTGTTTTTCCTTAATCCTATGCCATAATGCAACATAGCTCTATTGAGAAAGAAACAAAATTCATCTACCCTTTATTTTCCTTACAGTGCAGAACATACTATCTTGAATATCCTTTAATCTTAAGTGCTTGGAACCAGAAGTGTTTTGGATTAGACTTTGGAATATTTGCATATGCATAATGAGCTATTTTGGGAATGGAACCCAAGTCTAAACATGAAATTCACTTATGCTTCTTATACCCCTTATACACATAACCTGAAGGTAATTTTATATAATATTTTTAAATAATTTTGTTCATGAATAAATTTCATGGTGTGGAGTTTTTCACTTGTGGCATCATGTTGGTACTCAAAAAGTTTCAGATTTTGGAGCAATTCAAATTCGAGTCAGGGATGCTCAACTTGTATTAAATCTTCCACTATTAAAAAAGGCTTCCCTCAGAGAAATGGTAGACTTTAAAACCAAATATTTTTTTTTCAAAAAAGTTCTACTTGAAACACTAGTTTCTAAGGAACCTAAGAAAGCTCAAATATAACAGAATAGGCAAAGAGACTTATTTACTAACAAAGCTATCAACACTCACCATCTGAAGATGTTTTCCGCTTATTAGTCTCTGCCCAGGCAGGTACTCCTCCCATCGCATGCTGAAATCTAAGCAAAAATACTTTTTAAAAAAATATTGTGAGGGCTAGGGTTGGCTCAGCAGTAGAACGTTCACCTAGCATGAGCAAGGCCCTGGGTTCAATCCTCAGCACCACATAAAAATAAATTAATTAATTAAACATATTGTATCCAACTACAACTAAAAAATAAATATTAAAAAAAAATATTGTGGGGCTGGGGATGTGGCTCAAGTGGTAGTGCGCTCGCCTAGCATGCGTGAGGCACTGGGTTCGATTCTCAGCACCACATAAATGTAAAACACAGATATTATGTCCACCTAAAAAAAAAAAAAAACTAAAAAAATTAAATAGTTTTTAAAAATATATATTGTGATAATCACTGTATATTCATAGAGCTTGATACATTTAAAAACTAGTTTAGAGCACCCCTGAGAGAACATACAGACTTTCTTCCACAGAAGTTACTACCATCAAAAACAGAAGTTATCTTTACTCACAAGGAACATTCTCACACTGCTTATTTTGAAACTTGCAGGAACCTCTCCCCACCTCAACTAGCAGATACAGGACACCCAGATACCTATTTGTTGTTAATTTATGTCTAGTCATATGACTATTGTTCATTTCAAAACATCTTCGATGTCAGGACTAATTAAAGAAGCTATAATACCAATGTATGTAACTGAACAAGTCTGAAAAAAAATGACCACATTGGTAAGAATATAAAAAACTTCATCTCATATCATTAAAATAAAATGGGAGCATTTTCCTCTATTATAAAGTAAGCTTTAAGAGAAGCATGAGGATGAACACTGAAAAAAAGAGAGAAGCATGCTGGCTGTATTCTGAACAACTAGTAAGTGAAAGAGGACAAAAAGTCATTGCAACTTTTTAATGCAGAAAAACAAACTAGCCCAAACTAAGCCAAGTAGCCATAAAAAAAAAAAAAAAAAAAGCAAAACTATTTTCAGAAAATACAGAAAAGGCAACACAGAACTGTGATTCTTGAAAGAAGGAAGATAAACAAGGTGAGCCCTACCAATACCAGGAATTTTCCCCTTATGGCATTTAAATTTGGGGAGGTGGGGTGAGTCAAATCCCCAGCCCTGTTTTGTATTTTATTTAGAGACAGGGTCTCACTGAGTTGCTAAGTACCTCGCTTTTGCTGAGGCTGGCTTTGAACTCAGGATCCTCCTGCCTCAGCCTCCAGAGCCACTGGGATTATAGGTATACACCACCATGTCTGGCCTTTGATGGCATTTAAGACCCTGGCACAGAACCAAGAAAAAGGACTGACTTGAAAGAAGCTACTCTGAAAAGAGCGAGAGAAAGAGCTTGGGAAATCTGCATAAAAGTCCAATGACAACTCTTCCGAATACTAAGCTCCACACTGATAAGATGAGCTTCATGAGGTCAGGCAAAGAAGTACAAAGGGGCTAAGTCACACAGAACCAAAGGCCAGACATTCAAGTTGCAACCAGCTAGACGGAAAGTCCTTACTCAACACTCAGCATTCAGCAGATATCCCAGAAAGACCATACCTTAGTAGAGGGACTAAACCAGCCAAGAGTAAGCACCTCCCCCTAGACCTGCTTAAAAACAAATCTTGAAAGAATCAAAGTGATTTGTAAGCCAATTAAATGCCTGCCAAGACAAATAGCAAAAAATAACAAAGCCCAGAATTCAACTTGCTACACATTCAATAAATAAAAACATGAACTATAACAGAAGAAAATCAGACAACAGAAATAGAAATAACAGACATGACAGATTAGCACTCAAGAATAGCACTCAAAGATTTTAAAATATAAATAATATATCAAAGCATTTAAAGGAAGTATGAACTACAATATACTATCATATAAAGTAAAATAGAAAGGTTTCAAGCTGAAACTATCCTCTAAAGCTAAAAAAAACAATATCTGAAATAATCAATTTGCCAGATGAGTTCAACAGATTCAAAAGACTACATTCTGTATCATCTCATTTACAGGACATTCTGTAAAAGGCAAATCTATAAGGTCAGAAAACAGATCACTGTTTGTCAGGAGCTAATAGCATTATAAGTAGAGGAGAGAGGGTTGACTACAAAGGAGTATTTGACACCTCTGGGTGTGACAGCTATGTTATACATATTGATTCCCTACCTTAACTGTGATGGTGCTTAAATGACTGAACATACTTAACAAATTCTATGTTATACTGCAGATTATGTATCAATAAACCTACTTTAAAAAAACAGTATGCATGAAGCCCTGCAATAAGTGAAAAAAAGATTCTGCAGTGTGCCAAGTGTGAGGTCACCAGACTGTGATATAGCTAGCCCTGAAGAAGCTCTAGGCCAGAAATTACTGCCCCCAGGAGTGGAGCCCCATGAAGTATTCAACACAGTGCCAAATGCAAAGGACCAGATTAGCTGGCCCCAGCAGTCTACAGTGCAAAGGGTAGGGAAATGGGGCAGTCAGACCTGAAACAGCCATTTGGAGGCCTTCAGGGGAAAGAGTGGGTCTATTTCTGTTCTTACTTCTTTTACTCATTCTTTCAACCCTTAAATATATTCATTTTAAAAATCTGTTTCAAACTGCCACCTCCCAAAAAAGGGATGATAATGCAAAGAACCTCTAAGAACATAAAATAATGTAAAGCTTTTTAATTTTTTTAAATTTGTTAAGCTTGAGTTGGAAGTATCAAAATCATTATTTTAAAAAATGTATACATCCTAGCTCTAGTCAACTTTTAAAGAGCCTAGAAACAATAAAATCCTCATAACATTAACTATACTCTAGATATGATTTCCCACTGAAAGGAAGCAAAGTTCCTGGGAAAACAGGCTGATTCAGGGCAGGAAAAGGACAAAGTAAACCTAGAATACCTTTGAAGCCAGAAAGGATAGGAAATATGAACACAAGAGCCAACTACGAAGGGCTCCTCCATAGGCCAGATCTGGAAAATTAGAGCAAAGACCTATGACAATATTTGATTATAACACACCGAATAAATAAAATCCCATGAATCCAAAAGAAAATCAGTGAAATCCAGAGGGGAGGGGAGAGGGGACTTCTTTTCAAAAGATCAAAAGAAGGCCCACCATTAAAGTAGAATGAGAAACAGAGTAAAGACCATAATTTGCAAACTAAGTACACTAATACTTACAAACAGATAACTGGACAAAACAAGACACACAACAGAGCTCAAAATGTCCAAAACCAACTCACAAAGACCCATACATTCCAAAATAAGACCACAAGCAGTTAACAATATGCAGACTTCTAATAACTTGTCTGGCTTAAAAATTCTGAACAATTCCCTACTCAAGACCATAATTTTTATATTAACTTCTACCCTAAATTTATCCCTATGGATAACCTCAGGCCCAAATTCCATAAACATCCTGCCGGAATTCCGTCACAGACACTGAGACTCTCAAAATGGTGCTTTCTCCTGTTCAGCAAACTTAATAAAAACCAACTCCATGTGATCAAAAGGCTTCTGTTATCATCTATGTATGAGCATTTCAATGATAGAAACAGAAAAAAACACCATTTTGCTACCCTTAATGTAATAACTACTTCAGGCAATAATAATTATCAATGTTTTAAACCCTTAGGTGAGTTTCTGGGTTCATTCAATGCCCAAGAACCTCACATATTATTTGCTAATTGGAAAGACGAGGTTAAGACTTTCAAAACAAAGCTATCTATTGGTACAAAACCCTCAGTGATAATGCTTTGCATTATTGGTGATGCAAATAATAGAAATATTAGTAATATCATAGTACATATCACCTTAACAAGATTCCTGCAAAAATGTTTCAGAAACCCAGATAATGGAAGATCTCCACAATGAAAAAAATAATCAGACTGGGGAGGAGAAAATGGGAAGTTAACTGATTAATGGATATAGGATGAGAAAAACATTTGGACACCACAATGAAGAGATCATTGTACAATATTGTGAATATACTAAGTGACGCTAAATTGTGCACTTTAAAATGGTTACATTTCTTAAAACTAAAACAATAAAATAGTTACATTTATGTGAACTTCACCCTCAATGAAAAGTCAGAAAATAAGACTATGAGACATTCTACAAAACATGCCTCAACGTTAAAAACAAAACAGTATCATGGGGAAAAAAAAACCTAAAAGATGGAATGTACTGGTTTAGGTTAAGAGAGATTTAAGAGATGTCAAGTCAAAATATAATGTATGAGCTTCATGAGAACTGAAGAAATTAATACTGGCTGTCCATTAACTATTAATTTCCTTAGGTGTAGCAATAATATCGTGACTATGAAGAAAAATCTCTTTAAACTTACGTGATGCACACTGAGGAAACTGGGGGCAAAGTGCTGCCTTATCTGCAGCTTATTTTCAAATAGACTGGGAAAACACACACCAAATACATAATATAAATATGGCAAATTTGTTTGAAAAATCAGTGTACAAGGTTAACAGGTGTTTAAATACAATACTGTCGCAAAGAGATGGTTTATTATATAAAAATTAACAAGCAAGTTAACAATATTATTATTGATTATGTTTAGATGATAGCATTTCAAGTTTTCTTTCAAATTTTCTTTGCATCTGTTGCATTCCCATCCCCCAATACTGACAAGTAATCACTGCTTCCAACAGCAATGCTCCTACTGTTTCATAATGGAAATGTAACTATCGAAGAAATTATTATAGTCAAAGATGGAACAAACCCCAAATAAAATGCTGGTTACATACTTCTTGATAAATCATATGAAAATGGATACTTACTCTTCTTTCAATCTCTTCTGAAGTTTATCTTTTGAAAGTTTACTTTCAGTTGCATTTTTCATCATATCTTTCCGAAACCGATTGTTCACCATGTCAACCCTATAAAACACAGAATGACATATTATAAACAATTTTAAGAGTCATTATAAACTGGTGCTGCCTTTAGCATTTTGAGAAAACACTAAATGGAATTTGTAAGATGGATTTGTAAGATGCAGAACATCTCGCATATATTTTTCTCCATTCTTCCTCCTTTGACGTCTTCAATATTTTAAATCATCTAGCTTACCCTATGGAGAGCTGGAATTTCAGAAAACTCTTCACGTCTTCTCTACATACATATACCATTCTCTAAAATAAATCCCAGGTAAGTCAAAGAGTTAAGTGTACAAAAAGCAAATCTTAAAATACTATGAAGGAGCTGCACACGGTAACATATGCCTATAACTCTAGCAATTCCAGAGGCTGAGGCAGGAAGACAGCAAGCTTGACACCAACCTCAGCAACTTATAGACCCTGTCTCAAAATTTTATTTATGGGGATGTAGCTCAGTGGTAGAGTGCCCCTGGGTTCAATTCCCAGTACAAAAAAAAAAAAAAAAAAAAAAAATGCCATCAAGGAAAAATATAGGCAAACGTCTATCTTTCTGATAAAGAACATTTTACTATTAAAACAAACAGTAAGGGGCTGGAGTTTTAGCTCAGTGGTAGAGCACTTGCCTAGCACCTATGAGGCATTGGATTTGATCCTCAGCACTACATGTAAATACATAAAACAAAGGTATTGTGTCCGCCTACAACTAAAACAATATTTTTTAAAAAAGCAACAATAAAAATAATGAATGAGGGCTGGGGTTGTGGCTCAGCAGTACAGCGCTTGCCTAGCACGTGCGAGCCCTGGGTTCGATCCTCAGCACCACATAAAAAAATAAAATAAATAAAATTAAAAAGGTGCTGTGTACAACTACAACTAAAAAATATTAACAAAAAAAATAATGAACGAAAAGTTTCACAAATCTCACTTATCTAAAAATTTAAAACTTCTGTGCACAGAAAGCTGAGGGTAAGCCTACAATAAATGAGACACATAACAGTTTGAAATTCTCAATATTTAAGAAACTTGACATACTAAGATCATTAAAAAACAACCTCCAATAGATGCATATAATACAAAATACTTACAGGAAATGCCTGTGCCACTATAATGCACCAGTTAAAAAAAAATATGGGGGAAAAAAAAAAAAGAAATGCCAGTGGCTAATAACAGAAACACTACAGGGCTGGGATTGTGGCTCAGTGGTAGAGTGCTCGCCTAGCGTGCATAAGGATCTGGGTTCGATCCTCAGCACCACATAAATGTAAAATAAAGACACTGTGTCCACCTAGAACTGAAATATTAAAAAAAAAAAAAAAATTCTCACCACAAATATCACACTGAAAAAGCTGGGAAGAAACAAAAAACAATCACTGCTTTTCAAAACGGACTTCAAGGGAAAGGAAAACTGGTATGCAGTTTGGCAGTATTAATCAAGTCTTAAAAATATCTGTGCTCTTTGATCAAGTAATTCAACATCAAAGAATATTTCTTAAGAAATTAATTTAAAACGCATAAAGTTTATTTATAAAGATGTTTATCTCAGCATTGTTATTAAAGGGAAAAGTAAGGAAATCTGTCCATCCAACAATAGGTACATAAATTACAGTTGGCTCACACAACAGGCTACAACATAGCCACTTAAAAAATGTTGATAAGGGGAAGGAAGAAAAAGGAGAGAGGTTGGGAATAGGAAAGTCAGTAGAATGAATCAGACATAACCTTCCTAGCCTTGTATGTGAATACACAACCAGGGTAACTCTGCATCATGTACAACCACAAGAATAGGATCCTAATAGGATCCTAATTACTCTTATGTATAACATTATAAAATTTGCCAAAATACATTCTACTGTCATGAGTAACTAAAAAAGAACAAAAATAATTTTTAAAAAGTTGAGAAAGGTCTTTGTGATAAGTGGGAAGAAAAACTGAAAGCATTCCCCCTAAAAACTAGAATAAGACAGGGATGCCCTCTTTCACCACTTCTATTCATTATAGTCCTTGAAACTTTAGCCAGAGCAATTAGACAGACGAAAGAAATTAAAGGGATACAAATAGGAAAGCAAGACTCAAACTAGCACTATTTGCCAACAACATGATTCTATGTTTAGAAAATCCAAAAATCTTCACCAGAAAACTTGTAGAATAAATGAATTCAGCTAAGTAGCAGTTAGATATAAAATCAATACCCATAAATCAAATGCATTTCTATACATCAATGATGAATCAACTGAAAGAGAAATTAGGAGAACTAATTTCATTCATAATAGTCTCAAAATAAATAAATAAATAAAATACTTGGAAACCAACCTAAGAAAAGAACTGAAATACCTCTACAATGAAAACTACAGAAGGAAATTGAGGAACGCCTTAAAAGATGGAAAGATCTCCCATGCTCTTGGATAGGCAAAATTAATATTATCAAAATGGCCATTCTACCAGATCTGTTATACAGATTTAATGTAATTCCTATTAAAATTCGAATGGCATTCTTCATAGAACTAGAAAAAGCAATCACGAAATTCATTTGGAAAAACAAGAGATCCAAAATAGCCAAAGCAATCCTTAGCAAGAAGAGTGAAGCAGGAGACATCACAATACCAGATCTTGAACTATACTATAGAGCAACTGTAACAAAAACAGCATGGTATTGGTACCAAAATACACAAGTAGGCCGTCGTAGAGAATAGAGGACACAGAGACAAACCCACATAAATGTGGTTATCTCATACTAAACAAGGTACCAAAAAACATACACTGGAGAAAGCCTACTTAACAGATGGTGCTGGGAAAACTAGAAATCCATATGTAACAAAATGAAATTAAATCTATCTCTTGGGCTGGGGTTATGGCTCAGCGCTCACCTCATACCTGTGAGACCCGGGGTTCAATCCTCAGCACCACATAAAAATAAATAAGTGAAATTAAAAAAAATAAATTGTGTCCAACTACAACTAAAAAATAATTTTTTTCTTTTAAATCTGTATCTCTCACCCTGCACAAAAAAAATCAACTCCAAGTGGATCAAAGACTTAGGCACTAGAACCTGTGCTTTATAGAAGAAAAAGTGGGACCAAATCTCTACCATGTCGGCTAGGAACTGACTTCCTTAACCAGACTCCTAAAGCACGAGAAGTAAAATCAAGAATCAATAAAGGGGTGGACTCAAACTAAAAAGCAAAGGAAACAATCAATAATTTAAAGAGAGAGCCTACAGAATGGGAGAAAATCTTTACCACACACACCTCAAAGCACTAATTTCTCAAAAAACACCAAATAATCACCAAAAAAACCCCAAATAAACCAACTAATAAATGTGCTAAGGAACTGAACAGCCACTTCACAAAAGAAAAAAAAATTGATCTACAAACATGAAAAAATATTCACCATCTCTAGCGATTAGAGAAATGCAAATCAAAACTATTCTAAAATTTCATCTCCCTCTAGTCAGAATGACAATTATCAAGAATACAAACAATAAGTGTTGGTAAGAATGTGGAGGGAAAAAGAAACACTCATTCATTGCTGGTGGGATTGCAAATTGGTGCAATTACTATGGAAAACAGTATGAAAATATCTCAGAAAACTCAGAATGGAACCACCATTTGACGCAGTTATCCCACTCCTCAGTGTATACCCAAAGGACTAAAATCAGCATACTACAGTGATGCAGCCACATCAATGTTTGTAGAAGCTCAATTCACAATAGCTAAACTATGGAACCAACCTAGATGCCCTTCAACAGGTAAATGGATAAAGAAAATGTGGTATACACAATAAGAACATTACTCAGCCTTAAAGATGAATGAAATTATGGCTTTTGCAGGTAAGTGGATGGAGTTGGAGAATATCATGCTAAATGAAGTAAGCCAAACCCCAAAAAACCAAAGGCTGAATATTTTCTCTGATAAGCGGATACTGATCCATATTGGGGGGAGGGTAGAAGGACTTTGGATTATGCCGAGGGGAATAAGTGGAGGGGTACCAGGATGGGAAGGACAGTGGAATGAGATGGACACCATTACCCTATATACATGTATGATTACATTACTGGTGTAACTCTGCACCATATTCAGCCAGAGGAAGGAGAAGTTGTGCTCCATTTTTGTACAATGTGTCTAAATGCATTCTACTGGCATGTATAATTAGAACAAATTTTAAAAATAATTTTTTTTTAAAAATGGGAAGAAACATTTGCCAATATGACTTTATGCACAAATAAATTATCAAAGTAAGTAGACAGTACATTTTCATCTACAAAAGTACATACTGTGTGGGCTAGCTTTCTTTTAATCCTTTACTAGGTTTCAGACACTGCACTAAAAATTTTACAGGCACTATTTAATCAGAACAGCCTCTGATAATACTTACTATAATTATGTTCATCTTAAAAATAAAAAGGCAGGTTCCAAAATTGTCCATGGTTCAATTTGGAACTGGACAATTAAGGAAGCAAGCTCAGCTCTAACTCCAAATACTGTTTTTTTTAGTTGATCTATACTGCACAAAAGACACAGAAGAGAATGCCAACACGTAGTTCTCTCTCAAAAGGACCTGGTTCTTCCAAATGTTCATCAAATCTTCACATACTCATATATTTTTAAAGAGAAAGATTTTAAAAACCTACAGAATTACTTTTGAAGTTTACAGACGAATTCTGAAAAAAAAGTTGGGCAGCTTACATTTCCTCCTCATCATCTTCTTCATCTACCCACACCGGCTGCTTCTGAGGGGGGAAAGAATCTTTTGCTTCATTCTCCACTTCCGAGTCATCAGAGTCTTCATGCAAGTGAACCTACAGAAGACAAAACACCTTCAAGCACTGGGTTTTTCTCATCCCACACTCACCCATGCCTTAAGTGATTTGAATGCTTTGTTTTTATGACCCTCTGATTAAACAATTGGAAAGAATGCTACCAAAACAAATGCAGGGGGGCAGAAGCAGAAAATAAGATCAGGGAATGACACCTCCAGCTAGACAAGCAAAGCAAGCTGGAACAGTTAAGGAAAGCAAGTGAACATGCTGACGGAAAAAGAAAAAGACTATAGCAGGCAAGAACAAAGGGTAAGTTAATAGAGGAAGAAAAGAGCAGGAGAAATGCCCAAAATACAGAAATTACAAGTCCCAAGGCAGATTAGAGTTGAAGATAATAAATATCATTTAAGTCTTATCTCATATTCTTAGGCACATTACTTGTTTCCTCTTACCCATTCTTAATCCCACCTCTTTAAAAAACATTATACCAAACCATCAAATCTAAATCTAGACCATAAAAATCCCCTTTAAATTGTTTGAGCTTTCCTCAACCCATGACAGCAATATCCCATTGACTTCTACCTGCATTACTACAGTTCAATATGCTTCAAAGCCCAACAAACCCCACCTCTGGTAGGCTGTTTCTCCTGAATGTAAAACCTTCACCAGATTTAGCACACTTCCAAGACTAGTTCTCTAGACTGCAGCAACTTCTCTCCTAAGCACTCAAAGGAGGTGGCAATCAGTAAATACTTGCTAAGTCAACAGTAATCCTTATCCTTTCTCACTTATCTAAAAGTTCAGTCCTTCATACATTTTCCTTTTCGAAGTTTTTTTTTTTCTCTTCAACACTTATCACCAAATACTTGAGTTTTACTTATCACTTCCTTATCTTCTATGCCACAAGCGCCAAGAGGGCAGGGATTTTTGCCAGTTTTGTCTATGCCTGGGAATCTCTTGGACTACAGAATTTTTAAAAAAGTAGAATGCAAATATTACAATCAACCACAGAGCGTTTGCCATCACCTGGAAGAGTATCAAAGACCTACAAATATCTGTTAAATGAATACGTGATCATTTTTAAAAGTTGATGCGCGACATGATCGCGCCGAAAGCCTGTTAAAACGCTTATTCCCAGGCTTGTGCTCACCAACGGATTCCATTATGGAATTGGAACTCCTTGAATCACTGGCAAGGAACCGGGGCAAGTGATGAGACCACCACCGCCAGCCAGACAGACAGCAGAGCTGAGCCGCCCCAAATGATCACGACTACAGTTAGCAAAACAAAAACGTGTAGAGCGCCTGCTGCATACAAGGCGCAGTGGCTCCTCCCGGGCAGAATAAGGCGTGGTCTGTGCCCGCCCAAGCTTGCAGTCCAGCGCGGGAAGGCCGGGTACGCAAAGCGGCGCCCCTCGGCGCCAGCCTTCAGGGCTCCCTCCCTCCCTCCCACCTGAGCGCTCGCCGCCGCAGGTCGCCCAGGCTCCGCCTTCAGAACCTCGCCGCCCGCCGCGCTCCCCGCCTGAGCGCGCTCGGCCCGCGCCGGGGCCTCCCTCACCCGCGGGCCCCGCAGCCGCCGCAGCAGCGCGTCCTCGTCGTCCTCGACATCACCGAAAACCAGCTCTTCCAGGCACCGCTCTACGGCCGGTTTGTCCTCCTCCAGTGTCAGGCGATTCTGCTGCCGGAGCCGTCTCTCCTCCGCCGCCGCGGCGACAGTGATCGAAACGGCTGCAGCGATCGGCTGGGCCGGCGGTGTCCGCCGAGATGAAGGGGCAGCCTTTTGGGGTGGCCCGCCCGTCCCTGCCCTGGCTTTCTGGTCTGACCTCATTTTGGTCTTCCTGTCCGGCCTCGCGCGGGCTCTCCGTTCGGGTCTCATCCGGCTCCTGCGTTCGGGCGGCATTGTTGGGTTTGAGAAGAAACGCAACCGCTCACATGGAGCTGTTCTGCGCACGCGCTCCGTCGCCTCGCAGGCTGCCACCGAGGAGTTCCTGGGGGACCGGAAGGAGCTTGCGCAGCCTCTGGCCACGTGACCAATACCACTACGTCACTCCCACTCCCCTCGCCAGCCCCTCCCCTTGTGGGAGTTCCTCCGGGAGGGCCAATCTTCCGGGTGTAGGGGGACGCGGCGTGATTGGAGTGGAAATTTTTTCTAACACAACAAATGCAACATATTGAAAGGTGCACAAGACAGCCAGAGTACAAACGGGGGTGACTGAATGAAACTTCTACTCTTCCTTCAGATCTTTTAACCACTGGACTTCACTCAAACCCCAATTACTTTTACTTCCCTTCGTTTTGGTACGGTCCTTAGAGTACGGAGCCTGCAGAGGGTCCCACGCTGGAGGAGAGAGAGGAGGGTATGTAGGGAAGTGGGCCAATCGGGGCGCGGGTCACGGCGCAGGCGCGCTGGGGAGGGAGGGCTATGCTAATGTTGTTGATATCCTGGGGCCACCCGAGTTAAAGGGGGGAAATCCGGGGGCTGCCGCAGCCGCCACCAGTCTGGGCCCAGCTGGGGGCTCCCTTTAGTCGCCGCCGTCCCGGGGAGAGGCGCCTGCCCCCAGCTCGGGGAGGGGGCGCCGCGGGCTCGGGGAGCACGGACAACCCCTACCCATGAGGCCCTGATGGAAAACACAAAGGATCTGGTGAGAGCCGAGCGCGGCAGCTGCTTTGTGTACCAGGTGGGGGGAACGCCTGCAGCTCCCCGACCCCAGGAACCCCGCAGCTCCCTGACCCCGCTCCCAGGCCTGCTTCTTCATCCCACGCCCCCTCCCCCTACCGACCGTTAAACGATTCAGGGGTTCCCCTCCCCCACCACCTCAGTCCCGGATTCGTTCGGGTTCTTTCCTCCACACTCTGGGGGAAACAAATCGAGAAGAAAGTTTTTTTTATGCCCCCCACCCCCACCCTACTCTGACTAGGGAGAAGGGCTGAATCCGACACTTACTTTTTTAGGCGTCCAGGGTGGGAGAGTGCAATGGAGACCTCACTTTTTGGGGGAGGTGGGTGTGGGGAAATATAGTTTTGGTGCTTTGCAAAAAAAGGTACCTATCCGTTTGGGGACCGGTGCCGCGAGGTATTTTGCACGTGGAGGTGGAAATATTGAAAGGGGGCGGGGTGGGCACGTGTGGGAAGGAGAGGTGGGAGGGGTGTTTGGGAAGCCGCCACCAAGGCCGCTTATTTAAAAGGGTTCCAGATCGCTGGGCTTCTAAGACTACTGCGTTCTCTTTTGTGAAATAAAAATCCTAACATTTCAGAGTCGGAAGAGACATTAGAGGTCACCCAAAGCAGCCGTCCCCTCTGCAGCCTCTGAAAAGTGGTAGGTAGTTTGGCCTCTACTAAACCCCTACAAACACTGAGTGCTCACTACTGCCCAGGAAAGCCCCTTTCGTTTTTAAGTAATTCTCATCCTTTGCCTACCCTTATTAGACCCTTCAGTCTCATTCATGTCCTGGTTAAGTTGCTCCTTTTTTTTACTTCTCAAATTTTCTCTCACATCCTCCTCACCCACCCACTGCTCATTGGCCTATATTTTGTGTGCCAGGAAAGAACAGCAGGGAAGTGGAGTGAGGGGGGGATTTGAGAAAGTGAAGGCCAGCTGAAAACTTTGCTGGGTCAATTTCAAGTGTACTGACTTACGTATCTTAAGATGGTTGATACTCTTCTGACAGGAAACTAGAGAATTGAAATCAGGATTTCATGGCCATTTTCTCTCACTAGTGCAACTTTTTAAAGTTAGAAATTTCATCATCTCTGTAGTTCTATCACAAAACACATTTGCTTATTGCCTCACTTTCCCTAAGGATGCCTAAAATTGCATCCTGGGGAAAATACTAAAGCCCTTAGAAACTTCAGCCTGGTAGAGAACTGATCAGAACTACTCTTCATCATTTTTTTTAACAGTTCTGTCTTTTATGAGATTTGAAATTTATGCAGCACTTTAATATTTGCTTGGAGTTTGCAATATTTTTAATGCTCCCTACATTAAAAAGCACCAGTATTTGTCACTCGGTAGTTCAGTTTCAAATATATATTGTTGCTCAGTCTTTTAATGTTCTTCATTTAGTGAGCTCTGTTGCCTCCAGTAGTTTTCTTGGCAAAAGAATCTTGGGGCACGTGTTTTTTTCTTCCTAATATGGTGAAGTGGGAGTCCAAACATAATGTAGAAGTAATGCATCTGGTCTCAAAGACAGCCAATAAATTTTTATCCTAAACTTCCAGGCCCCTGTTTAGAATGTTAGAGCACATTTTTTTCTTTCCTCTCTTATGACTTAGAGACTTGCTTTGCTCTAGTGTGCTTAGGCTGGTTTTTGTTTACCTCAATACCAAAGACTGTTTAGAAAGAAAATAGATTTTTTTTGCACCACATCCTCTGAATAACAAATAGCTTTTATATTTATATAGAACCCATACTCAAGGCTTGTGAATAACTTGTAAATTATAGCAAAATCTGTCTTGAGCAAGTTTCTGTTCATATGTGAAGCCATGTTTTTCAACCATACAATTTTTAACTTTGTGAACTTGGACATGTAATATTTTTTTAAAAATCTGGTCACTAAAATTTAACATGGAATTGAATACTAGATCATGAAAATATTAATAGAGCAGTATAATTGTGTCTTTAAAGTTGTAATCAATATGGAGTTCCAAGTTGTTTTCCTGCTTACTTTAAATGTGAGCTGTCATGACATAAGTTGACTAACTTTGGAACCATTTGCCCTCTAAACATACTAGACAGGAACAACTGGTTTCACTGCTGTATTTTTTATGACTAGTTATATGTTGACATTATTATCGAAGCCTTTCTGGATAGTCAGGTGCTGCTTGTAGTATTAATTTTGGAAATTAAAATGAAATAACTTATTTTAAAGTATGTTAAAGCATATAATATTGGTCAAATAAACGTAAAATCATAGTTCATGAGTGAAATTGACATATTAACCTCATAAATCTTAAACTATGGGGCTAGGGATATAGCTCAGTGCTTGCCTCACATGCACAAGGCCCTGGGTTCAATCCCTAGCACCACAAAAAATAAATAAACCTACCTTAAACGACCTACTAAGAGCCAAAAATGCTCAGTGATCTCAATGACTACCTTCTAAACTTAAAAGAATCACTATTCTTTGGTGTCTCCTTGTTTCTCACTTTTTCATTTTTAAAATCTTTACTAGATAAGATTTAACCTTTAACACTTAGAGTTCAGAGTAAGACAGTTAATATGTCTCATTAGTCTTAGATTTTCAATTCCAAGAGAGATAAAACAGAATAGGGAAAAAAAGTTCCTAAGTACTTACAATAAGCTTAACTGTGTCTTCCAACAATAGTAGTATATTAACTATCCCAGACAACTTTTTTTTTTAAGAGAGAGTTTTTTAATTTTTTTTTTTTTTTTTAGTTTTCGGTGGACACAATAAATTTTATTTTTATGTGGTGCTGAGGATCGAACCCAGCGCCTCACACATGCCAGGCAAGCGCGCTACTGCTTGAGCCACATCCCCAGCCCCAACTTTTGATTTTATGTGAAAATAACAGGTTACTTTAGTTCTTTGGTTGGGGGAGGGTACTGGATTGAACCCAGGGGTGCTTAACTACTAATCTACACCCCCAACCCCTTTGTATTTTTTATTTTGAGACAGGGTCTCACTAAGTTGCTTAAGGCCTCACTAAATTGTAGAGGCTGATCTCGAACTTGCAATCCTCCTGCCCCAGCCTCCCAAGTTGCTGGGATTACAGGTGGGTAGTGCCATGCAGTTAAGATCTTTTTTTTTTTTAATGAACATTTTTTAAGGATTTAGTTCCCATAAACTTATAATTTATTTTTTTTCTTTGCTTCAGTCAAGAAAAGGTGCCTAAAGGGGTTGTGGCTCAGCAGTGGAGTACTCGCCTGGCGTGCACGGGGCGCTGGGTTCGATCTTCAGCACCACATAAATGTAAAATAAAGATATTGTGTCCATCTAAAACTTAAAAAAATAATTATTAAAAAAAAAAGAAAAGGTGCATGAATAATAATTCCATTTGAACAAACTCTATAAATGTGAGGTAGGATGAAGTGGTGGAGTGAGGGGGCCCTGGAAAAGTAGGTTAGAGTTGTGATTCTGCCACTGTCTAGTTGCATGATAGTAGTTGAAGGTCCTGTGTCTCAGTTTTCTCATCCCAGTTGAAAAGTTGATGTATAATCAGTTAGCATTGTCCAGTAGAACTTGGTGCAGTGGTGGAAACATCCTATATTTCTGCTGTCCATATATGACTATTGAGCACTTAAAATGTAGCTAGTAAACCAAAGAACTCAATTTTTTATTGTATTAATCAGTCAATTTCAATAGCCACATGTCTGCCAAATTGAACATGCAGGTATAGAACAGTGTTTTTCAAATATAGCTAGACTTCCTCTTGGAGGCTTTTGTTAAAAATACATACTCCTCCCCTGGATATAGTAAGGTCTACAGTAGTAAGGTCTGCAGTAACATCTGAGAATTTGTTTTAAATGTATGCTTTAGAGAGCTTTATTTTTGTTTTGTTTTTCATCAGATTAGTTAAAGAAACACTGCATAAGAGATTTCTGAGCACCCTTCTAGTTCTTACTGTGGTGTTGATAACCTAGCATTTAGTATAATATAAGTGACCTCTGAACAAAGAGAGCAAACTGGGCTCTAGCTCTGGCTCTGCCACCTTCTGACCTGTGATCTCAGACAAGTTTCCTAATCTCTTTGAGCTTCCTCCTATTCCTCATCTGAAATGTGGGGTGAGAATCAGCCTTGCTTCCCTTCTGAAGTTTTCTATAAACCAGAATCCCCTCTTCTCCCTTTTCACTGGATTATCTAATTCATACTCTATTCTTATAAAACTGGTTGTATATAAAGCTCATTCATTTATTAAATCAATTGCAGCCACAGTTTGCAGTCTTAGTTGTAAAGTGGGCATAATGAGTCTTAATTTTTTTTGGATTTCTGATGCTTAGCATAACGATGTGTGTAGCTCCATAAATATTGACTGATATCATCTGTTTATTTACTTGTAGGCTTCAAAACTTTCATTGATTAGTTATAGATTATTTTATATACCAGAGAAATATCCCCTTACTTTACATATATGTGTGTAACTCAATTTTTTTTTTTAATTTTTTAGTTGTAGTTGGGCACAATATCTTTATTTTATTCATTCAATTTTTTTTTTTTTTTTTTTTTAATATGGTGCTTAGGATCAAACCCAGGGAGGCAAGTGCTCTACTGCTGAGCCACAACCCCAGCCCTGTAACTCAGTAATGTTCTATTGGTTAATGTTCAGTGATTTCGTATCTTAGTACTGGGGATAGATTGAACCCAGGGGCTATCTACCACCGAACTACCTCCCCAGTCCTTGTTATTTTGAGATAGTATCTCACTAAAATAGTTGAATCTGGCCTCAACTTGTGCTTCTCCTGCTATTAAAAGCCGGAGTAGCTGGGGTTAAAGACATGCGCCACCATGCCCAGCAGTGATTACATAGCTTTTGAGCAACCAGCTTCAAATATATTTTTAAAAGATAATCATGCTAGGGATGTTGCATGGTGGTAGAGCATTTGCCTAGCCTGCACAAGAAACTGGGTTTGGTACCCAGAGCTTTCAAAAAAAAAAACACCAAGAGAACTATTAGGTTTTTTTCATTAGCCCTGATAATAATGATCTTAAAGACCCTCTAGGCCACCATGTGTTTCATACTTAATTTTGACAAGGTCATCTTATTTTTAATTAGCTTTTCAGGTTCATACTTAAGGATTCATAACTTTCTTCTGAAGAACTGAAAGTGTCCATGTGAACTATTTTATTTTATCATACATCTTCCTGTGTGGTAAGTGGTATTTTCCTTATTTAGAAGAGAGAGAAACTGAGACCCAAGTAATTGTTGCATCCAAAGTCATGATAATGATAAAACCAGAAGTTGGATCCCAAAACAGAAATTTGGATTTATCACTGGCCAAACTGTGCTTTTCATCCAGGTGTGGAATAAGGAAGAGGCCAGCGAGAGCTTAAAAAGCACCCTCACTTCTAAGTCCAGTCATCATAGAATATCTGTTGTGAAGTTTGTGAGCTCATGCATACAATGTTCACATTTAAAGTTTGAGAAAATATACTTGTCAGATGCCATCTCACTCAATCCTGCCTGGAACATGAATCATCCTTTTGTCCAGTTATCCACAATTTTATCCACCCATTATTTACTAGCCATCTCAGTTATCAGACTATTAAGGTATTAGAGGGCTTGTGTTAAAATACCTTATGTAGGAGCCTGAAGCCATATTGATCATCTCATCATATAGGCCTTATATCATTACAAGAAAGGTGAGTATAGACTAAGTAGATATTTTGTCAGATTCCATTCATATAACTTCTATTACAGTATATTTCAATTATTCTCTTATTGTTAATCTTACTGTGCCCAATTTATAAATTATTATAGATATTCATAGAAGCTGGTAGAATTCTGGGAGGAGGAGGAGAATTAACTGGAAAAGTACATGAGGGAGATTTCTAGAATGACAGAGAAGTGCTATATCTTGATATGCATTCAAAAATATGCCTCATGTTTTTTGGGGGGGGCCAAGTTACCAGGGATTGAACTCAGGGGCACTCAACCACTGAGCCACATCCCCAGCCCTATTTTGTATTTTATTTAGAGACAGGGCCTCATTGAGTTGCTTAGCACCTCACTTTTGCTGGTGTTGACTTTGAACTTGCGATCCTCCTGTCTTAGCCTCCCAAACTGCTGGGATTATAGACTTGTGCCACCATGCCCAGCATGCCTCAGTTTTGAAAAACTTAACCGGTAAGTAAAAGAGAAATGCAAACAAACTGCAGTTTCTTATAAACAATGATTAAAATACTAAGCAACATAAACTGTACAATATATTTATTGTATAGTGAGAAGAAAATTCATAGCCCTATATTAATGAATATGCTTGTCTCAGAAGCAAAAAGAACCAAAAAAAGCCAAAAGAAAACACACACACACACACACACAAAAAAAAAAAAGAAAAGTAGAAATTAATGAGTTAGGGGCTGGGGTTAAAGCTCAGTGATAGAGTACCTGTCTAGCACATGTGAGGCACTAGGTTCAATCCTCAGCACCACATAAAAAATAAATGAATAAACAAAGGTATTGTATCCATCTGCAAATAAAAGAAATTAATGAGTTTACCAAAAAAAAAAAACTATACATCCAATTAATGAATCAATTCTGGGCCTTTAGGGGAAAATTTGCAAGACAGATAAACCATTAACTAATTTAAGATGAGAAAAAGAACAATAGATAGACCAAGGGGAATTCTGCCTGGGACATCACATCTTCCCAGTGCTACATGACTACAGAAAATCGAAGAGGAAATTGTGATTATTTTTAGAAATAATACTGATTTCTAAACCTTTGATGGAGGTAATGCAAAGAAATGAAAACTACAGATAATAGTTAAGAATATCACTGTAAAATTCTAACTATTACGCAGTCTCTCGCACCACATTAACTCATTGTGTCCCAGATGTGGAACACCTTTAAAAACTTAAATTGAGCAACAAATATACCACTAAGGGTAACTGAAATAATATGTGAATGTTATGTTCACAGAATTAAAAACTTGTGACTTAATGAATTGTGTAAAAACATCTTGGTGAAGCTTATACTAGAAATACAAAGATAATTTAGTGTTTGGGAACCTACATAATTTACTATATTAATAGTTCTGAACAGAAAGATTATAGATCTTGAAAAGGCCTGAGGCAAAATTTTAACACCTAACCGAAAGTTTTGAGAAAACAGGAGTGGATAAATACTTCTTTATTTAACATGACTTTATTTTCACAAATAAGCACCTCAGTCCTAAAGCCAGCATTTTAATAAGAAACACAGTAACAAAGTAAGGGTGACTCTTTTCTACACTATTTAGACTAGAACTCTGAGTCCATACATGCAGGATGGAGAAAACAAGTCAGGCATAATACTGGAAAAAGAAAAAATAAAGTTTCTTTGTTGGTGACATGATTGTTTTTATGAAAAGCCATAGAAAATCAATGGCCAAACTATCTCAAGACAATTTGAGAATCTTAAATAATAAATGTCCATGTAGTGCAGAAATAACCAGTTAAGACAATACAACAACCAGGCATGGTGGTGCACACCTATAATCCAAGCTAATCAGTAATTTGAGGCCGGAGGATCTCAAGCTCGAGGCCAGCCTTGGCAACATAGTGAGACCCTGTCTCAAAAAAATAAAATGACAAAAAACTAGCTCAGTGGTAGAGTGACCCTGGGTTCAATCCCCAAAACTGCAAAAAAGGAAGGAAAATAGAAAAGGTGGTACCACAAAAAGAAAATCACACTTATAATAGGAACAACAAAATACTTAAAATTCTTAAGGATGTGCTTTAACGAGAATTGTTTTAAAAGCTATGTGAAGCTTGGGGTCTGGGGTTGTAGAGCACTTGTTTAGCATGTGTGAGGCACTAAGTTCGATCCTCAGCACCACATAAAAAATAAAGTTATTATGTCCATCTACAACTAAAAAAAAAAAATTTTTTTTTTTTTTAAATAAAACACTATGTGAACCAAACTATAAAGCATTCCTAAAAGACAAGTTAAGCCAGGCACGGTGACACACGCCTATAATCCTAGCAGCTGAAGAGGCTGAAACAGGAGGACCACAAGTTCCAGACCAACCTCAGCAACTCAGTATGGGCCCTATCTCAGATTTTAAAAAGGCGGGATCTGGGGTTGTTGGCTCAGTGGTTAAGCAACCCTGGGTTCAATCCCCAGTACCAAAAAGAAAACACAAGATAAATTTGAACAAAGGGAAAAGCATCCATTGTTCTTGTTTAAGACATCTCAATATCATCTAGTTGTCACATCTTTCTAAGTTAATTGATAAATTTGATTAAATCCCAATATAAATTTTTTGGTATAGAGTTGAACTAGTTAATACAAGAAGTTCATCTGGAAAAAGAAACATGCAAGAATATGGAAACATTAAAAGAGCTCTTTGAAGTGGATCTAGCTCCAGCAGGTATAAAAATATCCTGGAAAGCCTGTAATTATAAAAGCTAGGAAATGGCACGTGACTAGACAAACAAAAAAGCCCTGCACCACCTAATCTTTTAGTCAACAAGGAACCACATGTACAATAGTGGTACCATAAGATTATAACGGTGCTGAAATTTTCCTGTTGCTTATGACATTATAGTAGCCACTATAATGTGGTAGCACAATGTACTACGTGTTTGTGTTGATGCTGGTGTAAACAAACCTACTGTATTCTAGTGCTTTAAAAGTATATCACACACAGTTATGTACACTACATAATGCTTAATAATAAATGCCTGTGACTGGTTTATGTGTTTACTATGCTTTTTATCATTATTTCAAAGTGTACATGTTATTTTTTTAAGTTCGCTGTTAAACAGTATTCCATGTTATATCAACAGTAGCCTCATAAATCTCATGTTCACTGCATCTTTCCATCATGCCATTTTCTCTTCTACTTGATTTAGTCACATGTTGTTTTGCTCATCGTGGCCCCTAAGCATACAAAATCCATTGCTCATATTGCCACTGTGAGGCCACATGGAGGGACTGACTTGAAAATGAAACAAGTGATTAAGCACTACAAAGGTGGAAAATCAGTGATGGTTATTGCTCGCCAGTCAGGCATGTCCCATTCCTCCATAGCCATGAGCTTGAAGAACAAGAACAAAGAAGGATCTGCTTCATTGAAGGCAATAAGACTACAATTCAAGAAGGGTCTATGTCTGATGTGCAGGTACTTCTAATGACCTGGATTGAAGACCAAACACAGAAGCATATTCCTCTCAGTACCATGATGGTCATGGCCAAGGCAAAAAGTTGGTGATGATGAAAGAAAAGGCTGGACCTGACCACAGTGTTGAATTTACTACTAGCTTTGAGTGGCTGAAATGATTCAGAAATCATTAGTTCATTGCATTATGTGAAAGTGAATGGTGAGTGCTGATGTGAAAACAGCTGAAGAACTTGTGGAAACTAGGCTGATTGGGGGAAATAATTATTTGTCAGAGCACTCTAACAGCATAGGCTATATAATATAGCCTAATGTGTAGTAGGCATAGTTTCTGGGTTTGTGTAAGTGCATTTTATGTTTAACCAACAGCAGAATCATTCAGTGTTAGATTTCTTGAAACATGTTCCTGAAATTAATTGACATGTGGCTATAGTATAAGATCCAGAAGTGGACAAAACTACATAGGGATACCTAATACTTAAAGTGGTATTTCAAACCAGAGGTAAAGGTGGACATTCTAATAAAAGATATTTTAGCAACTACCTAGCTATTTGGTGGTGAGGGGGTGGATATTAGGCCCATTTTTCACACCATACACAAGAATAAACTCCAAATGGGTCAGAATCTAAATATAAAACTGTATAAATGCCAGAAGGAAATGTGGGTAAATTTTTCTATATCATGATTTAAGAAATTCTTTTCTAATTGATTCATAATTAAGATGCAATGAAAGACTATACTGGTTGCCCTAGGGATATAGCTCAATGGTAGAGTGCATGCTTCAAATGCATAGGTCCTGCGTTTGATTCTTAGCATCAAAAAAGAAAAAAATACTGGTAAATTTTAATACATTAAAAAAAATAATTTTAGCCAAAAAAACTTCATGTGCAGAATCATAATTTGCCATAAATACAGAGAAGAGTGAATTTCTGAGTACAAACAACTGAAATAAATCATGACTAAAAACCTTAAGGAAAAAGCACAAAAAGATCAGAACAGACAAATCCCACGTGTGCAAAAGAAGATACAAAAAAAGACAAACTATGCAAGACTGAGCACTGAGTTTAAAGAGTTGGTCTTTAATATCAACTCCCCACTAAAAACGAGAGTTTCTTGGAAAAATGAATTTCAGGGTTGGAACAGCATAGGTAAAAAGAAAATTGAGCGTGAAACATGTTTTTGTGCCAGAAAGGAAGTACTCAAAAATTGTCAGGAGCTTGTGAAAAAGAACCAGTTTGGGGAGATCCTAGCAGCCAAACCTGGGATGATATGAGCCCCCAGATAAGGACAATGATGAATTGTTGGGGGAAAATAGGAATTAATTCATACTGGTAATTAATAGGTAAGCAGATGAAGTGAGAGTAAGATTTCTTGATGACTGACTGGTGTAGCGCTGCAGTTGGGAAGTCATTTTAGCAGCCATCATGATAGAGTTTGGTTTGGCAAGGATTATCATTACATAGTAAATTAAGGGTGGGAGTGGGATTTTAATGAGAAGCAATATATGCATATTTTAATCATGACCCAGGCCTGCTTATTAACTGCAAGGAGAAATTAGGTGAATATACAGTGGGAAAAACTGCATGAGACCTTGGGCATCTTATGCCTCAGTTCAACATCCTGAGACGGATACAACATTGTTTATGCAGTATTGTGGGAATACATAACACGAATCTAGTGAGGGAAGGTCAGATGAACCCCCCAAGATTAAAAGGGGGCAACTCTGCATTCTTCAAAATTAACCTTTCAATTTAAAAAGATAAATACAATGTGATCCTGGACTGGAAGGAAGAAATGCAGATAATGTTGTGGATTCAGTTTGTAATAAGGATGGTAAATTAGAGAATTATGTTTAACATTAATTCAAATTAATGTTGTATTTTCTCAAACTGATAACTGTGCTATAGTTAGTTATGAGAGAAAGTTTTTAATCCTAGGAAATGCATAGAGTTTAAATGATTTAGAAAACTAGAGAGAGCCAACCAGTTGGGTCCAACGTTAACAACTGGTGAGTCTGTGGGTGCAAGGGTTCAGTGTTTCTGAAAGCATGATGTTATTTCCAAATAGGAATTTTAAAAAGAAAAAACTGCATTAATGTGCCATTTTTCACCTGTCGTTTTGGCATATATTAAAAGACAAAGAGTATTTTCCATTAGGTTTTGAGAAGCAAGCACTCTCAATTTGCTGGTGCAAGTATAACTAGTAACTTTTCTTTGGAGAAATTTGTCAGTGTCTAACATAGGTATACACACATACATGTATCCTACTTCTGAGAATAAATCCTGGAGGAGTACTTCACTAATATAAAAATACATATGCATAACTTTATTGTAGCATATTTGTAATTGCAAAAACTTGAAAACTAGATGCTTTTGCACTGAAATGGAGTTATTTTTATTCTAAGAGGAGATTATAGTATTTGATCTTTCGTGTAAGAAAGGAAAATTAAAAAGCATGTATGTATCCATTTACCTTTGGAAAGAGTATACCTACAAAAAGCATAAACCAGAAAGCAATAAAGTTGATTACACAGAAGGAAACTGATCTTCCAGGTAGAAAATGAAATATAATTCAATGAAGGAGTTTAAAAACTAAAAGCAAGCCAAACAATTAGAAAATACTAACATAACCACTATGGAAGGAGAAATAATTCAAATAACTCTTAAGTTGGCACCCAGCCCCTTGATCTGGGGAGAAAGGGCTGCAAAGAAATTATGAACTTTTAATTTTGTATGTAATATAGTTCTTCTTTTGCTATTTAAGTATATAAAAGGATTGAGCAAATGAGTACATTGAGTTTGTTGAGGAACAAGAGTTTTCACTGTAGAAGAGACAAATAGGGAGTGTGAATAGGTTTTAAAAAGGAAAAAACCTGTGGGGGAGATTGAAATTGTGGTTATAGGTAGAAGTTCCCAATATTCTAAAATACTTGTACATGCATTTGTCACATACAAGTGTGTGCATATTCTTAATTCTCTCAACTGAAAGGGCCCTGAAGCAGAGAAATCCCAATGGCAATGAACAAATTGGACACCTACATGTTTATGTCTAATACAATAATAATCTAATAAAAGAAACTAAGGCTGTTTGGAGAAGTATTTGATTCCAGCTCAGAGAGAGTTGAGTTTATGATAAGTCTGAAATACCTTGTTATGCCGGGAAGTAAGGAGTTACTCCAAATGTGTCTAAATAACCTCATCTTGAAAGAGCTCCCACTCACCCAGTCTGTGACAGTTTGAACCATTGAGTAATTAAGAACAATAATAAATAATAAGCCATTGGAAAGTAGTAATCTCTGAGTTGATATCCATAGTAAATAGTAAGTGATAAGGTCCCTTAGAGAAGATGCCAAATGATGAACATGAAATGCTGGGGGTGGAAAATAATCACAGTTAAGGACTACTTGCACAATGATCATTGGGTGTTAAATCCAAAGTAATATTTTGATGATTAGAATATTTGTATGTTTAAGTGTTTCCCCATAGATAACATTTTCCTCTTATTTTCTGTTAAATAAGCTAAATAGTCTTGAAACCAGACCAAACCTAGAGCAGGTCATTAAAATTAACATCACCAGTAAGGACAGATAGCCATCCTGCTTCTGGAGTTGATACCCTGAGAAAAACAGCACTAGTTATGTAAACAGCTGGTTGATATGCAACATCAATTAATGAGAAAATCTCAAGTAAACCCAAAATAAAGAAATTTTTACTTTTGAGATAAGTGAAATCTGCAGAATTCCAGTTTATGTAAGATAATCTTTCAAGTAGGGAGGTCATAACACCCACTCCTGAAGTGGGGGCTGTACCACAGCACTTCCTTCCCAAGAGTTCAATATGGGAAAAGTTAAGAAACACTTTATTGCAGGGCATAGTGGCACATGCCTGTAATCCTAGTAGTTCGGGAGGATGAGGATTGTGGATCACAAGTTCAAAGCCAGCCTCAGCAATGTAGGCCCTGTCTCAAAAAGGGCTGAGGATGTGGCTCAGTGGTTAAGCACCCCTGTGTTCAATTCCCAATTACCCCCTCCCCACACAAAAATCACTTTACATGGAGAAATTTGACAGTGCCTCAACCAGATGATCAAACATCAACACTAATAAGTCATGTTGATAGTATTTATGTAACATAAATGGCACTGATGTGAGTAACTTACCTTCCAACACAACTTCAGCCTGATCATGAGAACAAATCTCAGTGGAGAGGTGTTAAACAAATTACCTAAGCAGTACTCCTCAGAACTCTCAAGATATCCAAAAAGAATTTTTTTTTAAATCCACAATAACTTTAGGACAATTTATGCCTGAAGACTTATGGCAACTATATGTAATACAGAATCTTGGAATCGAAAGAACATTAGGTGAAGATGAAAGAAATCTGAAGTAAGTGTAGAGTGTTTAAGGATAACGTGTCAATGTTGATTATTTGCAACAAATGCACAATACTAAGATTTAATAATAGTAGAAGTGGATGTTTAAACCTGCTGTATTTTCAGTTTTTCTAACTTCTGAAAAATAGCTCCTTTAAGGGAGGGAACTATGTTCTTAAAAATATGTTAAGTGTTAAGAAAGACAAAATTATCCTTCTAGATTCAAACTTAAGATTGTCATGACAAATGGAATGTTTGATCTTGGACTAGAGGGGGGAAAAATCCACACATTGAGTCATCAACAGAATGTGAGTGGTAGATTAGATTAAAGTATTGGGTTAATTTTGTAATTTCTTGATCATTATTGCTATGCTGATACCATATAAGAGGATATCATTATTAGGAAAGGCACATTGCAATGTAGGGCAGTATTTCCCAACCAGGGTGGTTTTACCTCCTACAAGACGTGGTAGCTCCTGGAGGCTTTTAGGGTTGTCACAGGGTGAATGGGGGAATATTACTGCCAGAAATGGTACTAAACATACTAAATACAATGCACCATGTAAGTTCTCTGGCCCAAAATGCCAGTATAAGGTTGAGAAACCCTGAGCTATGCTTCCAGCCCTGATTTAGAGGTAAGTGGACTTTGAAGCATGTAAGCTTTTCACAAATAGCTGGGGGTTGGGGGGAAGTTGTATATAGAGAGAAATAAATGGGTCAGAATGCTAATAATTGATCAATCAGGTTAATGATATCAAGTTTGTATTATTGGAACTGCTGTTAAATTACAAATAAATGATACTAAAAAGCTAACTATTTTATAGTAAAAGTTT